GGGATTGCTTACCTTTGATATTCAGCTTCCATGGATTCCATGGCAGTGGCAAGTCGGGAAACAACATCGTCAGCACTTTCACCTCCTTGTGGTCTCATGAAAGGATCTTTTTCATCAAGAGCCCATATCTCTGGGTACTGTGGCAACCAGAAAAGAAGGAACTTGAGAACACGTGTCTCACTTGGCCGTTTCCAACCTAGGTAAGCTAATGATAAGTACCTTGTCATGTGACTTGAGTTCAAAGGTAGGTCCAAAATAGCGTTCTCGCAGATCTTCCATCATCTGCTCAGCAGGAAACACCCTTAGTATTACGGATAAAGCATAGGTTTGTGCAAATGTAGTGGCAGTGTAGAAATATGTGGGATGCATAAAAGACCATCCTTTACATACCTTGCATTGAGGAGCATGAAATGGGAGGTTGAGGACCTCAGCAACAACCCTAGCGGTGTGAGTGGTTCTGGAGAAGGGGGAGTAGCAAATGCGGACCTTGTCCAGCTCTATGTTACTTTCCTTGAGTTGCTGCACACACAAACAGTGTTGATCATGAAAAAGTTTTGAGTTTTTTTTTATTTTATTTTGGGAGGTAGGGAAATAAAGAGATGAAAGCAAACCAACCTGGAGGAACGATTCGCCGGCGAGACGTGCCTGAGCGATACCATCAGGGGCTAACTGGTACTCGGGGAGGACACCATTTTCCTACAATTGCCAGCAGCAGAGAATTTATATATATATATATATATATATAGGCGATTAAGGAGACGAATAGATGATGATGATGATATGATAGATGATGATGATATGATGAAGGAATAATGAAGAAGAAAAAGAGGAGGAGAAACCATGGAAGAGACGACGAGGCCTCTCTCGTTGGGAATGCTCTTGCCGTGGCGGAGGACCCAATACCTGTTGTTGTTCCCTACTGACGACGAATCCATCTCTCTCTCTCTCTCTCTCTCTCTCTCTCTCTGTTTTTTTTCCCAAGAGTCAATATTCCACTTTACCTATACACATTTCTTTTACTATCTCTGGGGTTTGATATTTATACTGTATTCACTAATTTCTTCTAATCCCTAATTCTTATCGAAAATCTCAAATCACTAATTTTCTAAGGTTTTGAATATTCTTTTGTCTTTATCTCTTTATCCCTTATCTTTTAGACAAAGTTTACCATATACAGTCACTAATTTCCTTCTAATCCGATATTTTTTAACTAATATAAGTATTTATTTACCGTTCTTTTAAGTATTCGTGAATATTGTACTACACAATTGGAAAATGTGTAGACAAGATTGAAATACAGGTGTTTTTGACACATAACCAACCACCACAACCTCTTATTTTTTTCAGAGATGTGAAGGTTCCTTCGCTTTTGGCTTTTGCCTACTTTAATCGAAATTTGAGTTTTCTTTGTAGTAAATTAACAACTAGTTAAATCGTCATATTTTATATATTGATGATCGAAAAATGAGTGACAAACGAAGCTAATAAGTAAAATGTAGTGTATATGTTGATGAAAGAAGACGACTGGGCACGTCACTCTCTCTTTCTCTCACTCTCCTTCACAGCTTTAAGCAAGACGCTACCATATAATAAAAGTAGGAAACAGAGTTAGCCAAAAAAGTTTTCCAGGCCCCAAAAAATAAGAAGAAGAGGTTCTCTAGCTCACCTTGTCACTTGTATGCATGAACCACCATGGGCCCTTCCTCCACATTAATCTTACCATTCACAAAAAAACACCCATTTGAGAGCTTTATTAATACCACAAAATTACACTTTTCATTCAACTTGTATTTATAGATATAGATATAGCTCTTTCTCTACCTGCTAAATCCAGCCACCATCCGCAATCCCATGAACATGCTCAGCCCCACCCACACTCCACTTAGCCCCAACCCTGCCGGTGCATACAGCATGAACGCTGATGATATTCCTCCCACCACCATCTGCCACACACACAAATCATTCACTCACCCTATATCTCATCTCTTAACAAGGAGGTCTTCTCTCTCTTACTTACCATCGAGCAAGCCGCGTAGGGGAAGTCAGACATCCCATAGTGCAGCCCATCAAAGATAAACGCTAGCGCTGTTATTGGTTGAGTCGCCGCTACAAACTGAATGCATGTTACGTGAGTATAATGGGAAAAGCTCGACCCACTTTATGTAATTACATCACTCACCAATACACCCTTTCTCACAATCCGCAGAACTTCAGGGTCTTTGGAAAACAAACCAGCTATTGAACTGAAAGACATCCCCAACACAACAGCAAGTGCAATCCCTGTCACCACTCCTATCTGTACAACACCAAACACGTTACAACCCTCTATCTCTATAACAAGAGATCAATTAGCATCCCCAACAAGTGAATATGAACTGCGAAAAGGGAAGTTGGCTCAGACCTTCAGAACAAAAGTAGTAACCTCTTTCACACCTTCAAAGTCTCTTTTGGATGCAGAACTCGCGATCAAGGCCTGATCAACAAAACACGAGGCTTAATTACATCTCTCGACTATCTCAGTGGTTTTAGTCCCATTTACTACAAAACAGTTGAAGAAAGCTATAGCCAAAACCTCTAGGTATGAAAACCAAGCTGAGAATCTAATACCTGTCCAGATGAAGCTAGTGCATCAGTAAGCAGAGATACCGCCAACCACACTTGCATGCATATCTGATGTGCTGCCATTGCGAAAACTCCCTGACGAGCCGCCATTGATGTGGCAACAGTCATGGTCATGAGCACAGACAGAGTCCTTCCAAGAACAAATCCCCCTATAATTCAAGTCAAGGTTTAAAACCTAGATATATCGATACAGTGCTTACATCCATAAATCCCGTAAGTGAGAAACCATTGTCTACATACCTGATTTTAGGTAATCGCCGAACTTTAGTGACCCAATCTTTGGAGGAAGCAGTATAACTCTTTTGTTCAAGAGTATAAGCATCAAAATGGCAACAGTGTACCTATGAAGCAGAGGAAAGGGGTTTAGTACCATCCTACAAGGTTGAGCAAAGGAGGAAAACAGGAAAAGAAGTAAGATCTATAGATACATACTGGGAGATGACACTAGAGATTGCTGCCCCGGCTACACCCATCCTGAACTTGTATATAAACAGAGGGAATAGAAATACAGCCAGAAAATTACCAATGCCTGCATAATGGAAATTAGGGAACGAATGGAAACCAAGAACTACAAAGATACTTGAATGTTCTTGGACTATGTCACAAGATCTCAAAGAATGCTAACCTAAACAGTAGACTGGAGTTTTTGTATCCTTGAATCCACGAAAAATGCCTTGAAGAGCTAAAGAAACCACATAAGCAGGAGCACCAAGCGCCCTAAGGACAAGAAACTGCCGGGCTGGGATGAACATTTCTGACATCTGGGTGTCAGGTAAAAAAGACAGAAAACATGCATTCCTCAGCATAGATTACTCACGAAATTTCCTAAGACATAAAGACAATACGCTCTCTCTGGACCGAACTTACAGATTGTACACCCATTAACCTTAGAAAGGGTCCAGATGCCAAAGACAAAGCCAGTGCCTCGAAGATGCCAATTCCAATGGCTAACACTAGCGCTGTTGACACTGAAGATAACTGTTTCCTTTCTGGTAAAGCTTGAGAAGGTATGTCACTATGACAATCTTCTGTAAATCCATTGAAAGAGATATAAGGCTGGGGAAAATTGAGAAGAGAAAAAAGCTATTATATACGTTTACCTGAGGCTAGACCTTCAGCGGCAATCTTTGCAATATCTTCAGCGACAAAAGAGGTGGCAACGCTGAGGAGTGGAATGTTGAAGAGCTTTGATATGGTATTGAAGATGGACATGGAAACGCCAGCGGAACCCAACTCTACAGATCCTGCAGATTGGAAAGAAGGGGAGTCCTTAGAACTCTGGAAACAACATCTTTGATGGTGAAATAACTGTAGAGAAGCAAAGGGAAAATACCGAGCCTTCCGATGTATGCAGTCTCCATGAGTAGCGTCAAAGGATCTATAGCTTGGCCAGCAATGGCTGGAAGAGAAAGCATCACGAGTTCTCGTTTGATATCGACAGGACGTGGTTCAGCAGAGTGAAGCCCATGAACCAACCTAGCAAGGACGGAGATCATGAAAGCATTACATAGGCAAGAAAGGCATAGAAACATGGCCAAGTGTATCAAAGGGATAACGCAACACCTCAATAGCCTTACGGGAGTTTGTCCAGTGAGCGGCAAGAGTGGTCTTCTTCCCCCAACTTGACAACACCGCAATCAGGGTTAGTCTGGCTCTTCCGGCGAGTAACGAAAGGATACATAGGGGTTGGATTGGTGTGGAGGGAGCATTTTTTATTGATCCGAGTTATAGGTAGAAAAGTCCCTTGCTGGATATTCGGTTTGGCCAACCTAGAGTTCCTCCTATTCGCAAATGGCAGCGAAACTTGCTGCCCACCAACAACTACTCTACTGGACTCCATCACACACAAACACAAACACTGCCAAAACGAAACTTAACTAGTTCGTCTATAATTAGAATCAGTTAGGACTCGGAGGGGAATATGATGACCTAAAATCCGGTTCTTTCAATTGGATGAGTGTGGGAGAGAAAAGGAACGAAACGAAACGACGGTGAAAGAAACTAGTTTCGCAAACGATATAGAAAACCGAGAAGAAGACGATACTGGTAAAGGAGAAGAAACGATTCAAAATCCAAACTTTGTCGGGGAAGCAGGCAGGCAGAGAGAGAGGGTTCAATCAGGGGTTAACCGTTGCAGGGAGAGAGGCGGTTTTTGTCTGGAGAAGACGATGGTAGATGGGCCTTTTGCTTCTCTATAAAATTAAGCCCATTAAAGCCCACTGATAACAGTAACAGTATCTTCTTTTCTTTTCTTTTTTTGTATTTCCGTCTCAAAGCAGTTTTTTTATTTTTGGCTGCCAAAGTTGTGTGTGAGTCCCTCCCATGACTTCCTTCAACAAGGCTTTTTTAGATAATAAAATGATTCAAATATTGTATGCATCATTTTTATTCAAAACCAAAGAAGACTTGTTCTTCTCTCCGCTTTTATCCTTACATGTCATCACGTTTTTGATATGTTCTGCTATTGACTCGAAACACATCTTTCTAATATTAGCTTTTTTGTTTGACTTCATTTTTTGCAGAACGATCGAAAAACCTTTTCATAAATCCCCCCCATTCATTTCTTAGACGAGTTGGCGTTTCAAATCCCCAATCTTTAATCGGATATATATGTTTGTTTTTGGAACTGAGAAACAAAAAAAATTAAGACGATTTCAATTCTAGATAATAATCTAAACAGCTAATTATCATTTGGCAAATAGGTAACAATAATATAACTACATATGAGAGAGAGAGAGAGCAAGAGATTCGCTGTGGTTGCTTTAGGCATGAGAATTAAGTGATTTAAGAAAAGAAAAAAAAACCCAAACTCAGTTTTCTTTTTTTCTTTTTAAAAAAAATTGTGTGCACTTGTTTGTTTGAGATTAGTTTGGAGTTTGTCCATAGTTTCTCGGCAACCAACTTCTCCTCTGCCTTAACGTCATCGAGAAATGGCGTCGTCTTCTTCTTCCTCCGCCTCCTCCTTTTGCACTCTCTCCTTCCCATTTCTCCTGTTTTCTTCCTATTCTTTGTAGCCTATCGTCCTCCTTCCTTCATTATTTTTGTTGTGTCTGCGTCGTTCTACAATTAATTAATGGCCTCTTTGAAGTTGAAGAAAAGGGATAATGGCGCTGAACCCGACAAGAAAAAGTTGGTCATCGCAGGAATTCGCCACCAGTTACTGCTTCTCCTTCGCCGCCGTCACCGTCTATTTCCGCTGGTATCTGCCGTCTCCGGCTGTATCCTCCTCATCCTCTTCTCATTCTCGGCCCTTTCTCCTCCTCCATTGATCCATCACAACAATCAAGTGGCCGTGGAACCCAATCCAGATCCAACCACCACTCCATTTCGTGTACGTAAACCCTTTTTGTTTCATTGGGGTTTTACGTAAACTTTCCAGATTCTTTAAGACCTCATTCATGGTCATTAATGCGTGTCTCAGGAAAATGGTGGAAGGTCGGATCGCCAGTTATGGAGCTCGAGATTGTCCAACTTCTACTATGCCTGCAGCAATGCAACTGACACCTTTCAAGGTAAAGATTTGATCCTTTTGCATGCGCGACAAGGACTCCTCTCTTTATATATATCAATTGATTTCGTATATTTTTATTGACATTGTGGCAGTTACTGATAAGACAAGGCAAACCAATCGGTATTTACTTATCGCGACAAGCGGAGGTTTAAACCAGCAACGGACAGGGGTGAGTTCCTTGTGAACCATATATGGGCGTGTATTCAGGCGGTTTCTTTCTGATCTATTTCTTCTACTGCAGATCATAGATGCTGTAGTTGCCGCATACATTCTAAACGCCACTCTTGTGGTCCCTAAACTTGACCAGAAGTCCTACTGGAAGGACACCAGGTCCCTGCCCTGTCCCTCTCTGTTCTGTTCCCTTTTTGAATTTGTTGGTAATTCTAACACAGGTTTTTTTTTTTTTTTTTGTGGTACGCAGCAACTTTGAGGATATATTTGATGTTGATTGGTTCATTTCACATCTCTCTAAAGACGTGAAGATCATCAAGGAGCTTCCTAAAGAAGAGCAGTCAAGAATATCCACCAGCCTACAGTCAATGCGTGTCCCAAGGAAATGCACACCTTCTTGCTACTTGCAGCGTGTTTTGCCCATTCTTAATAAGAAACATGTCAGTTATCCTCCTCCAAAATATGTGTATCATGATGTATATTCCTACAACAAGTAGGCTCATCTTCTGCAATATTCTAATGGTTGCAGGTTGTACAACTCTCCAAATTCGATTACAGGCTGTCCAACAATCTTGATACAGAGCTCCAGAAACTGCGTTGTAGAGTGAACTACCATGCGGTGAGATATACAGAGTCTATCAACAGGATGGGCCAATTGTTGGTTGACCGGATGAGAAAAAAGGCCAAATATTTCGTTGCCCTTCATCTCAGGTACACACATACATATATCTCACTAATAACATTTTCGAAGTGTATGGCTCATCAGTGTGCATGTTGGTTCCTAGGTTCGAACCTGATATGCTGGCCTTCTCCGGGTGCTATTACGGCGGTGGTCAAAAAGAGAGACTCGAACTCGGAGCTATGAGAAGAAGGTGGAAAACGTTACATGTGAGAGAATAGCATGCTTGCTTAATTTGAATACCATAAATGTAGGTCCAGTATCAACTCTTCTTAATTAACTCTATTAATTATTGGGGTTGTTGCAATGTGCAGGCGGCAAACCCTGAAAAGGTACGGCGGCACGGGAGATGTCTCCTGACGCCAGAGGAGATTGGTCTGATGCTCAGAGGCTTAGGTTTTGGGAAAGAGGTTCACTTGTACGTTGCATCAGGCGAGGTATACGGAGGGGAGGTTACATTGGCACCGTTAAGAGCTCTGTTTCCAAATCTCCATACAAAAGAGACACTGACCTCCAAGAAAGAACTGGCTCCGTTTGCAAACTTCTCATCACGCATGGCTGCTCTTGACTTCATTGTCTGTGATAAGAGCGACGCATTTGTCACCAACAACAACGGCAACATGGCTAGAATCTTAGCTGGGAGAAGGTATAACTGTGTCTCTTATCCTCACTTTTTCACTCTCTTCTCTAATGCACATGCATGTGTGTTTGCAGGAGATACTTGGGGCACAAAGTGACCATCCGTCCAAACGCCAAAAAACTCTACGAGCTCTTCAAAAATAGACACAACATGACATGGGATGATTTCTCATCCAAGGTCCGAAGATACCAGACGGGTTTCATGGGGGAACCAGATGAAATGAAACCAGGAGAGGGCGAGTTCCATGAGAACCCAGCCTCCTGCATTTGTCGAACCTCTGAAGCAAGAGTCGTGAAAAAAAAAGCAAAACATGTAAATGAGGATGACTCATCGGAGTACTCAGACATTGGCAATGTCCCCATAGCTAGTGGAAGCGATTTGGATCACTCACAAGTTGATGAAGAGATCTTCTGAGACTAAGCTCATGTTTTTCTATGCACGAATCAGCATTGTTTGCCAATAGATAAATTCTTCTTTTTAAAAAAAAAAATGTAATGTCATTTTAAGTCGCAAGGTTACAGATAGAAAGAATGGTGTACATATATATAGACCTTTTGTACATACACATGCATATATCCCTTTACATTCTTAGCTCTCTTCATTCTTATGGAATCGTCAGATTATGCATTCCCGTTGATTCTTCCTCTCGTCAAATAAACAAGTCTGTTACGTACGCATACATAGAGAGAAAGTAGAGAGTTGGAGTGAGTCAGTTCCAGGTGTGATCGTCGCATGGATCACAACCTTCCTGAGCAATGTCGGTGATCTGAACGCCGGCGTCATAGGTCATCCCAGCTTCCCAGTTAGCTGGAAGGACCCTCTGCGACCAGACCATTTTGCCGTCGTAGCCTGCGGTCACCACGAACCTGAACTGCAGAGCTCCGGTTGGTACTTTGTCAGTAACCCACACGGCTCCGTGGCTTCTGGTCATGTAACTCCAGTGTGACGAACCAACGTGAGCAATGTCAATGGCTACCACTTCGGTTTGGCCTCCTTGGTACAAGAGCTTTATCGCCAAGTAGTTTGGATTTATACTTGACTCTTCAACTCTCACGTTCATCTTCTTGTTCCCGTAATCGCAAGGAACTCTGTTTCATTTTCAATTATTCTTATTACTACTTGAAGGAAAATGAGAAGAAAAGCTAGCATATATCATAGATAGTAAGAGTTCTTTTGGGAATCGAACCTCCTGTATTCAATGTCGACAAGGCCTTCTTTGAGAAGATCTCTGTCGGAGCCAACAACAGGCTTGGCCATGGCCCTAAAGGCTCTGCTGCTAAGGATAAGATCGGTTTGGTTGCTCTTGTTCAGGTCTGTGAGCATCACCGTTGTTCCTTTGCTGCTGCAAAGGGTCGGGTTCGTACATCTGACCTGGAAGCAAGCTCCGCAGCCGGAGCCGTCTTTGTAGATGGAAGGCAGAGCCGCGGCAATGTGTCCGGCGAAGAAACCCGTAGCCATAGAGCCATAGGCACAAGCTCCGGCTGAATTAAAGAAAAAACCCGTAAGTACAAATTAAAAGATGAGAAAAGAGACACAAAAGAGTGAAGTAATGAAAGGAGATGGAAAGCTTACAGGAGAGAGCAGAGGCGGAGGAGAAATAAGCAGCCTTAGAACGGTGAAGACATCGGTCGCAGGCGGCTGCAGATGAGGAGAAGAGGAAGACGACTGAGAGGAGGAAGAGAAAGCCTTCCATTTTCTTGAAGAAACCAACAAAACAATACTATTATTAATGGGGGATGCGACGAAAAGTGAGGAGAGGAAGGAGAGAGTGAATGAACCCCATTATATAATACTAGTAGTGAAGAATGAAGAATGAAGAATGAAGAAGAAGCGAATGGGTTCCAGCTCAGCATCACAGCACACGTCACGTCGTAGATAGAAGCAGCTGGCATGGCACAAGAGTAGGCGTGTTCATTATTTATTGACTTGAGAGTTGAGAGTTGAGAGTTTGAGAGTTGAGAGTAGTGCGTGTGTAATAACTAAACTAATCTCTAGCCTATAGTATTAATTACCATTATGGTATCATCATCATTCAAAGTGAAAAGAAAAAAAGGTAGTGTGAAAGAGAGATACCACCACATTACCCAATAGCAATAGTCTAGGGTGGATGACGTGGCTGTGCACCGACTCTCTGCATCACAGCTGGGCCTTGTACTTACATGTTCATGTCGGTCGGTCTCCTTTTTTTTTACGCACCCCTTCTTTACCCCCACGCCCTTAACCAATCAAAACCGTCAAGGCACAAACATACTATATTACCCTTTTATTGTTTTAGGATAGTACAAATTTTCTAATTTCTGCCAACCAAACCACTTCTCTCCTCATTTTAAGTGATTCTATCTAGCTACTTGTAATTCTTATTAATCATTCATGGGACATGTCAAAAGTTTCTGTTAAAATGTTGATTTCAGTCAATGAGATCTTCAATATTCAACAGATTGGTGACCAAGAAACATCCATGTGAGAACGACTCTGTCACATCTACGGCATTCATTACTACATGTGAAGATATCTTCATACTTCTCCCTCTCCTACCTTTTTTTTTTTTTTGGTTCATTGTCGGGGCTATACAAATTATAAGATTATGATTTGATCGTTTAAGATTCTATATCAACACTCGTGTCTTCTTGAGCTTAGTGCTAAATGGGATTTCGTTTAGGCTAATGTCTAGATGAAGAAGTGTGTATATTTTTTATTCCTCTTCTTTTCCAAGTGGTGGGGCTGAAAAGAAGTCCAATGAGGTGAGCAGCATGACTAAAACCAAAACCATCAAGTTTAACCCAATCTTAGCCCTCGTAAGCCCATCGTCTGTTTCGGCCCATTTGTAGTTAGCAGCAAGCTTATTTTTCTAATAATTAATGTCCAAACAATTTAAACAGTCCTTTTGCTCTCTTTATTGGATAACGTGGACCGTCCACACACCGACCATCCATTGGTCGGCGAAAAGCAGAGTATTCGGACATGTACTATGTTTTTTTATTTCACTTTCCGAGAAAAACAAACCTTGTTCCGATCAAAGTTGGTCCTTAAAATATAGACTTGTTAGTACAATTTGCCGGCAACACCTTGGCTAAACGCGAGACTAGTTAGTGTTAATTACTATGGAATTAACTTGTAATTAAAATAAGCAGAAAATAAAAGCTAGATCGAGCTACTATAAATACAGTGTCGCAGGGGTTTTGTGTAACTCATCAGTCCTCACATCTAGCAAAGAAAAGTGAGTCTTGAATACTAGTTTGCGTTTTCCTAAAAGATGGCGGATCATCCTCGTTCTAGTGAGCAGCAAGAAGCTGATGTTGCAGCTTCCAAAGGCTGTGGGATGTTTGACTTTCTCAAGAAGAAACCCGAAGATGTACATTCTTCCGAGAATGCCGGTGTAACCAAGGAGCCCAAGGAAGAGGAGAAGCCTTCTCTCGCTGAAAGACTCCACCTTTCTGACAGCTCTGTAAGCTTAATTATATATATACTATTGTTCTTAAGTAAAACTCTTATGGATGAGAAATGTTAATAACACGGATGTGATATATGTATGCAGTCAAGTGATGAGGAAGCGGGTGAAAATGGGGAAAAGAAGGAGAAGGAGAATAAGAAGAAGAACAAGAAGGAAGTTGTTGCAGCTCAATGTGAAACAGAGGAGAAGCTTCCTGCGGGTAGAGGTCATGAGGATGGGAAGGAGAAAGGGTTTATGGAGAAGATGAAGGATAAGCTTCCCGGAGGTCACCATGGAAAGCCTGAAGCTGAAGCTCATAATGACAAGGGCAAGGAGAAAGGGTTTATGGAGAAGATCAAAGAGAAGCTTCCTGGTCATACCAATGATGAGACGAAGAAGGAAACGTAGTTATAGGAAGACCCTTTTTTTAACCTTCGCTTTCACCACTTATTACTTTTTCATCTTCTTGTATCGTTGTCCACGTCGTTATATGTCATGCCAATTTTCGAATTGAAAACTCTTGAATCTTAAATTTTTAACTCTTAATGAAAAAAAAAACTAAAAGCGGCATCCATCCAATACCCAATAAACATATACATGCTTTGTGAGCAAGAAACGGTGGGCCTGCTTAGTTGTATACGTTTGGGCTGGCTAAAAAGGGCCGCAAAAGGCCCATTTAAGATATCACGGAAAATAATAGGAAAAGGGAAGGATGGCAAGAAGGAGCAGAGACACGGAGAGTCTGTGTATGAAGTGAAGGGAAAAGGAGAGAGAGAGAGAGAGACGTCTCCTCTCACGGGAAGAAGACAGCCTGTGACTTTCTCTTTTTGTGGTTCCAGCTGTTTTCATATCATTTCTCACTCAAGTTGACCGTTGAAATTTGTGTTAAATGGAAAATATGTGTGTTACGTAAGAATAGATGATGCTAAATCTAAAACTAAGAATCCTGCGCCGCCAAGCCAATGCGAAAGAAAGCAGAATTTTCATCAAGAGAATACTACGCGTTTAAGTACTCTCTTGCAATTTCTTGTTTGTCCGTTTCTTTCTCCAATAATCAACTCTTCTTCTTTGTTATTGATTATATATTTTGTGGACTGTATTACTATTATTTTCTACTTCCAGCATATATACATACATTGCTTCATCATAACGTGTTCAATCAATATTTATCGTCTGCGCTGACTATTTGTGCCAAGATAAAACTACTCTATTTATTTCACCCAAAAAAAAAACAGATCAAATAAAATAAAACGTGACTCTAATTTACTACATAAACAGGAGGATGTATACAATGCAACCCCTTTCTAGCCAGTAATAATTATTTAAAAAAAAAAAAAAAAAAAACTATGCAACATGCAGCATATCTCAAGCCCCACCGGATTGCAATTTTCTTTCAATAAAATAATAACAACCCCCAAAGGACAAAATAATGGGCTTTGCTTGGTTTGATATATACATTTAATTAGTAGGTGGGGACATGCTCTTATTATATTACAGGTTGAAATAAAAACACGGAATTAGCTGATTGGAAAAGCTTCCCCCCTCTTTGGACTTTAAATACGCCACCAGAGTCTTTTGTTCCGTTACTACAAAACAAACTTCAAGCTTTCTCTTCTTCTTGTCAAAGCGAGTATGGGCTGGTGGCTACATGGCGCCGTTTGGACGATGATGATGGCCATATCCACCATTTCTTTTGTTCAAGCTGATGATCCCTACCGTTTTTTCGACTGGAGGGTCACTTACGGCAACATTTCTCCACTTGGCATTCCTCAAAGGGTATCTTTTCTTTTCCTCAACCTCAACAAAATGGCGGACAGCTTCTTCTGTTTTGTTTGACCGATGATCATGCTTTACATTTTATCCATACACGCAGGGAATCCTGATTAACGGACAATATCCTGGACCCGATATTTACTCTGTCACCAACGACAATTTGATCATCAATGTTCACAACGATCTTGACGAGCCCTTTCTCTTATCTTGGTAAGTCCTCTTCCCCCTTCTTTACCACTTTCTTTTATTCATTAGTTTCCACTTTTCTTAACCAATTTTTACCGCCCATTCATTAATATTTAGGTTAAACCGTATTATCTCAATCTGTTTTTTTTTTTTTTTTTCTTTGAATGTTATATATTTCTTCTTTATATGGATTTGAAAGACAATGCATATATTTACACCCCCTAAAAAACTGCGTATGGATAATTAACGACCTTGTATCACCAAGTCCCGTTTCACTTGACTTATATTATAAGAAAGATTGGAGTTTGGTATAATTGGCATGATGAAGCCAACTTGCATGCTCTAGTGCCGTTTCTTCACAATCTTGTTAGCTATTATTGGTGGACACGTCACGTTTTCATGTTGATTTATATAATATCAATATCAATGAATTAACAAAATACAAAATGCATGGTTAATGAAGGAACGGAGTGCAACTGAGGAAGAATTCTTACCAAGATGGAGTGTATGGGACGACTTGTCCAATACCACCGGGCAAAAATTACACTTATGCCATCCAAGTCAAAGACCAGATCGGTAGTTTCTTCTACTTCCCTTCCCTAGCCGTTCACAAAGCCGCCGGTGGTTTTGGCGGTTTCCGTATCCTCAGCCGCCCTCGCATCCCCGTCCCTTTCCCTGAACCCGCTGGAGATTTCACCTTCCTCATTGGTGATTGGTTTGAGCATGACCACAAGGTACTTTTTTCTTGATTAACTAATTATGTTCCATTTAGCACTTGTCGTTGTTATACAAGGACCATAATTAAATGCACATTATTCAGGCTTTGAAGGCAATTTTGGATAGAGGACACAAGCTACCTTTGCCTGAAGGGGTTTTGATCAATGGCCAAGGAGTCAGTTACATTTCTTCACTCACAGTCCACAAAGGTTCATCTTAAAAACACTCAAGTACATAAATACTTTAGATACGAAGAAGAGCATTATCATATTATCTCATCTTTTTTTTGTTGTTGTGGAACAATTATTAGGTAAAACATACAGATTTAGAATATCGAATGTAGGGCTTCAAAACACACTGAATTTTAGAATCCAAGGTCATCAGATGAAGCTCGTCGAGGTTGAGGGAACCCATACAATACAGTCCATGTATACCTCTCTCGACATTCACGTTGGACAGTCTTACTCCGTCTTGGTCACCATGGACCAGCCTGACCAAGACTATGACATTGTCGTCTCCACAAAATTTGTCGCCAAAAAACTCTTGGTCTCATCCACTATCCACTACTCCAACTCAAGACATAGCCGCCACTCATCGTCTGCTAATTCTGTCCATGCTGAGCAACCTGCCGATGAACTAGATTGGTCTATCAAACAAGCCCGGTCCATTAGAACCAATCTAACCGCGTCTGGGCCAAGGCCTAACCCTCAGGGCTCGTACCACTATGGTCGAATCAAGATTTCTAGGACTTTAATATTGGAAAGCTCAGCGGCACAAGTGAGGAGGAAGCAACGCTACGCCATAAATGGAGTGTCGTTTGTAGCTGCAGATACTCCGCTAAAGCTTGCGGATTACTTCAAGATCAAAGGCGTTTTCAAAGTTGGAAGCATCCCTGACAAGCCGAGAAGAGGGGGAGGGATGAGAATGGAGACGTCAGTGATGGGAGCACACCACAGAGACTTCCTTGAAATCATATTTCAAAACCGCGAGAAGATTGTCCAAAGTTACCACCTCGATGGATATAGTTTTTGGGTTGTCGGGTGAGAATAATGAAGGGTTAGCTATATATATATATATATATATCACCCTAGCTTTGTAATAGTAATAATGCATTGCATCTGATGTTTGTGAGTATTTTCCACAGGATGGATAGAGGAACATGGTCGCAAGCGAGTAGACGAGAGTATAATCTCAGGGATGCTATTTCTCGCTCCACCACTCAGGTACAAATAGTTTCTCCATATATCTTACCAAAATTTATATATCAAAACTGGAATGTCTTGTAACCAAAAAAAAAAAAAAAAAAAAAAAAGTTAAACAAGTTTTTGGTTGTTATAGGTATATCCAGAATCTTGGACAGCCGTATATGTGGCACTGGACAATGTGGGGATGTGGAATCTAAGGAGTGAATATTGGGCGAGGCAATACTTAGGCCAACAATTCTACCTCCAAGTTTATTCTCAAACACACTCTCTTAGAGATGAATATCTTTTGCCTAAGAATGCTTTGTTGTGTGGCCGAGCCTCCAATAAACACACTCCCTTTACCACTCCTTAATGACTCTATTAATTCATACCAGTCGTGGATGAATTATATAGGAATATATATGTTGAGTTCTTTATTCTTTATATTTCGATAGCGAGATATATGTTGCACAATTATTAATCTACTACATAAATTGTAATGTACACCCAAATTTGATGAAAATTTTACTGTTTTGTAATTGTTATGGCCGACTTACATACAATAATCGATTGTCTAATACTACAAAAATAGTAAATGTTTGGATTTTTTTTATTATTATTATTTGTTTATTTTATTGAAGACAAACATACAGTATGTAGCTTTTCTAACATAATAGTGTTTCTAGACAATGGTTGAAGTTAACTTTTTTGGATAATTACATTTGTAGGCAATGTTTTCATATGAATTAACCAAGTAATTTTACCATATTCATTAGCACGAGATATACTACTCTTGTTTTATATTAGAGACATTCAGTCTAAATAGTTCAGTTTGATGAAATAGAATAAATTACAAAAACTCATACTTATATAACTTATTTAGAAAAACTTTAATTTCGAATAAACAGACTTTAAAAGATAAAATAAAAAACTTCAAATTATTCATCCAGCGGTAGACGTTGAATGCTCTATTGGTATTCAATTTGGGAAAAGTTTTCGTTGACCTTGAAATTTACAAATTAAAAGGCTGTCAATCGAATGAAAAGCATGGCAATGGAAAAGATTTTCTACTAATACAAACATTTGTTTGGAAGGTTAAAAGGCTTTGAAGAAAAAAAGGGGTGAAGTCAAACTAACTAATTTAAGCAATGCATGTGAATCAACGCCATTCCATAGCATATTCTAGTGATCAGTGACATTAATATACAAATAGATAAACCCAAATTCAAAGGGCATTAAATTAGTTTTACGTTAATGAACTGAATTAAGAGTAATCAACGGCGTTGGGTGAAAAAGAAAAGTCGAGAACAGCGGAATACAACAAGTAAGCGAACGCAATCTAGACCGTACGTACGTACGATGGGAATACTTTAATGACGCCAGAATACAGTGTTTAGATCAGGCGAATAGGTACAAGACACGTGGCGTAAAATCACGAGGTAAGAGCAACGTAGTTGAGGCCGGTGGTACGAGAGAGAGAGAGTGATGATCCATCCGACAAGGAATGGAATGCTTCTAGTCCACACAATGTCAGCCTTTCTTAATTTTCTCGGCCGCTTCGAGATTCGAAAAGATCCAACGGTTGATATAACAAATGACAACGGCCGTGGGATATAATTTTAATATCGCCGTTAAATGTGACGAACGTGAGTTAACGGTGGATCTGTTACCAAAGCTCATACCCGTCCCAAACGGAAGAGGATAACGGCGTGAGTAGAAAAAAAGAGCGAGTGTGAGTGATGAAAAGAAAGGAAAGGAGTCTTTTTTATTTTTTTTATTTTTTTTTAATATCTCTCATCTCTCATCTCTGCTTTGCTTTTTATCAAACAAGCTCGCATCATCATCACATCCACTTCCTTCTTCTTCCTTTCTCTTTGCCCAAATGTGGATTCTTTGAGCCGTTATTAGATCTCTGCCGCCTACCTACAATAATGGGGAGCTTATCTTCTGAGGAAGACGACCAAGTCTCTTCCGAGAGATGCGGAAGCTACAGTCCCAGCGCCGACATTAGCGAGTCTGAGAGTTCCACCAGCTTCGACGGCGAGGGACCCTCTAGCTCCATCCCTTCTTCCCCCCGGCTTGTCGCTGGGAGAGGCTTTTACTTCCCGCCGCCAGTTATGCTTCCGGTGATCGGCGGCAAAGATGTGCTCTGGGATGACAAACACTCAGACAACAACGATTTCTCCGGTACTGTATATAACTTTCTAAGTTTAACAACGACTACTAGGATTCGATTTATTATTAGAATTTTTTTGGTATTTTGGGTTTCAGAAATTGAGATGATGAAGGAGAGATTTGCGAAGCTACTTCTCGGAGAAGACATGTCAGGAGGAGGTAAAGGTGTTTGTACGGCGCTTGCTATCTCCAACGCCATCACCAATCTCTCTGGTATATTCATCTTTTTATCATAGAGTAGGGCTTTCTCGTTTTCCTAGTTATATTTTAATCAGGCTAGTTTCCACCAGCGACTGTGTTCGGCGAGCTATGGAGGCTTGAGCCTCTTGCTCCTCAGAAGAAGGCTATGTGGCGTAGAGAACTTGAATGGCTCCTCTGTGTTAGCGATTCTATCGTTGAGCTCATTCCTTCCCTTCAGCACTTCCCCGGAGGCGGCACTTATGAGATCATGGAGACCCGTCCACGTTCTGATCTCTATGCCAATCTCCCTGCTCTCAAGAAGCTCGATGCTATGTTGATCGATATGCTTGACGCTTTCTCCGATACCGAGTTCTGGTATACTGATCGCGGCATTGTTCTTGGAGAATGTGACAAGGATTCTTACAATTCCCCAGCTTCCGTTAGGCAGGAGGACAAGTGGTGGCTGCCTTGCCCTAAGGTTCCGCCTAACGGTTTGTCAGAAGAGTCCAGGAAGAAACTGCAGCAGTGTCGGGACTTTGCTAACCAGATTCTCAAGGCTGCATTGGCAATTAACAGCGGTGTGCTCGCCGAAATGGAGATTCCCGACCCTTACTTGGAGACTTTGCCCAAGGTATGGGCCTTCTTGAGCTCAAGGATGAGCTTTTTCCATTGCTGCTCGAGCATACATTGTTTTACCATTAGTGGTTTTATGTGATTAGCTCATTGAGGTCTGATTTAATTCTTAATGTAGAGCGGGAAGGAATGTCTTGGAGAGATCATCTACCAGTACTTAACTGCAAACAAGTTCTCTCCCGAATGCCTCCTAGACTGTCTTGATCTCTCATCGGAGCATCAGACTCTTGAAATCGCCAACCGGATTGAGGCGGCTGTGTACGTTTGGAGACAGAAGAATGGGAGGAGGCACAAGAAGCAGGCGAAACTAAAGCTGTCTTCATGGGGTGGCAAGGTTAAAGGCCTTGTTAGTGACACCGAAAGAAATGATTTCCTAGTGCAGAGAGCCGAGACCCTCTTGCAGAGTCTTAGGATCCGTTTTCCGGGACTTCCCCAGACAACGCTGGACATGAACAAGATTCAGTACAACAAGGTACAATGAGTTAGGAGTGTGCTTTGCTGGTTGCATCATGAAACGATGCTTAGATAATTTTAAAGTTTGTGTGTGTGTTTTTGCAGGATGTAGGGCAATCAATTCTGGAGAGTTACTCGAGGGTGATGGAGAGCATGGCCTTCAACATCACGGCCAGAATAGATGATGTGCTTTATGTTGATGATGCCATGAGAAGATCCATCTCTGTCACGGAATCGCTATCCCTATTCAGCATCAATGGACTCAACGGTCAGAAAGCGTTATCTGTGCAGAGCTCTCCGCATGGTTCACCATTTGCAACGCCTTCCCTAAGTGTAGCATCGAGGAGCCCGAGGAGAGCACCGCCGCTGTATTCAGTGAAGAGGAATGGGACGAGAGAGAAGGGATTAGTGGGGGAAACAGAGAAAGAATGGTCGTATGCGGGGAATCTGAGTTCAAGAAGAGTAACGGGAGTGACGCCGGAAAGAGATTAAGGTTGAAAATAGAAGAATGTAAATCAATGGTTGTAGAGACTGTAGTTGTTTGTTGTTAGTCTGACTACGAAGAGTATTATTATGGTAATAGCAACAAGAATGTTATGTTTTGGGAATGCTGTAAGCAGAAGAGAGAGGAGACACAATTCCTTAGCTCGTTAGCAAGTTTAGACTGATTCTGGTCCAAGTCCTAGAACTGAATGCACATCACATACGTCTCTTAAGTTATTTAATCATGTTCATTAGTATTTAGTATTAATATTAAAGCGACAACTTTTAAGGTTTGTTTTGTATCGGATTAAAGTTGATGTCCAATAATTAATAAAAAAAGTTAGAAAGGGGTTTTCTTGTTATTTTTTACTTTCTTATAAGCAGTCTATCATTAAAAAAAAAAAAAAAAAAAAGAGCAGGGAAGACGAAGAAGAAAAAGTTGGAAGCGAGAGATGGAGCAAAGTAGCGGGAGACTCATCAATCCGGAACAGGCCAACAACGTCTTGGGGAGGCTTGTGGGGAGCATCGTGGAGAAAGGAATATCGGAGAATAAGCCGCCAATCAAGCCGCTTCCCCCAAGACCCTCCCTTCTTTCCTTCCCCGTCGCTCGTCATCGTTCTCACGGACCCGTAAGCCAATCCAATCCTCTAGTGAGCTTTTTAGGTTTCGCAATTTTCATCTTCATTTTGTTAGCTTCTTTTTCGATTTTCTACTCTTGTTATTTATAGTTTGTACTTGGACTCCACAGTTTCATCTACTTGTTCACCGTGCCTGACCTAATGGCTTGTAATTCAGCTTTCTGATTCATCTTATTATACTTTGATTTTGTAGCATTGGGCTCCTGTCGGAAGCAGCATTGCACAACCTAAAGATAACGATGAGGAAGAAGAAGAAGAAGAAGAAGAAGAACGTTTCATGAATGCAGACTCCGTTGCTGCTTTTGCTAAACCGCTTCAAAGAAAGGAGAAGAAAGACATGGATCTCCGGAGGTGGAAAGATATGCTCTCTAGGGATGATCCTGCATCCACACAGGGCCCTCAGCAATCAAGGAGAGTTAAGATCATTGAAACGAGGCCCCTCTCTGTTGCTTCAGCCGATGCGCCCGCTACATCCAGTAACACTTTACTGGCTCAAAAACCTGCCAGGGCATCATACCAGAGAGACATTGTTTCTCCTCCCCTAGCTGTTTCTTCCTCCCCATCCAATGGACTTGGGACTAGACAGGCGTCTTCCTCTCTTGAGAGTGATATTGATGTTGAGAACCATGCAAGGTTGCAGACAATGTCCCCCGAAGAGATTGCTGAGGCACAGGCCGAGTTATTGGACAAGATGGATCCTGCACTACTCTCCATTTTGAAGAAACGAGGTGAGGCAAAATTGAAGAAGCGAAAGCATTCAGTACAGGGGGTTTCCATTACCCATGAGACAGCAAAGAATTCAAGAACTGACGGTCATTTTGTCACTCCTCAAGTGATGCCAATACCAGAAGAAAAAACTGTGCTGCACAAGTCAGCGATAGCCCAAGGATTTGTGTGGGATACATGGACTGAGAGGGTTGAGGCAGCCAGGGACTTGAGATTTTCTTTTGACGGGAATGTTGTTGAGGATGATGTTCTTGTCTCGCCAGCTGAAACTGGTGAGTTGAACAATACAACTGAAACTCATGACAATCTTAGGTTACTTACACTTTGAATGTACAGGTGGAAAGTGGTCTGGCGTTGAATCTGCTGCCGAACGTGACTTCTTGAGAACCGAGGGGGATCCTGGGGCAGCAGGGTACACCATCAAAGAAGCTATTGCTCTTGCACGAAGTGTGGTATGATTGTCACATATTTTAATTTTGGCTTTAGCTGAACAAAACATGTAGGCTGAGACTGTGGTTTTTTCGTTATCACTGCTCATTAATTTGTATGTGTTATTGATATTTCAGATTCCCGGGCAGAGAAGCCTTGCTTTGCATCTGCTTGCATCTGTACTCGACAAAGCTTTGAACAAAATTTGTCAGAGCAGAATAGGCTACACAAGGGAAGGAAAAGATAAAGCCACTGATTGGGAAGGCATCTGGGCATATGCCCTTGGACCGGAACCTGAGCTTGTCTTAGCATTGAGGTAATTTCCTGATGGGTGTAATTTTGAGACTTATTTGCGAAGTTACCACTCATATATCATATATTGTTTGTTCTTATCAATACAAGTTTCTTTTCTTCTTTAGGATGGCTCTTGATGACAACCATGCCTCTGTTGTTCTAGCATGTGTAAAAGTGATTCAGTGTCTACTGAGCTGTTCTCTTAACGAGAACTTCTTTGATATTTTGGAGGTAAAGTTGTTTTTCTCACTCCGAAGAAGTTATAGTCCCCATAGAACTTGATTACATATGTTCAAACTGATAAAATCCATTTCTATTTCCAGAACATGGGACCACACGGGAAGGATATCTTCACGGCCTCGGTGTTCAGGAGTAAGCCGGAAATTGATCTTGGCTTCCTCCGTGGTTGCTACTGGAAGTACAGTGCTAAACCCTCCAATATTGTTCCTTTCCGTGAAGAAATCATGGATGACGGCACAGAAGATACAGATACTATTCAGAAAGATGTTTTTGTAGCCGGACAAGATGTTGCTGCTGGTCTTGTCAGAATGGATATCCTTCCAAGAATTTATCATCTTCTGGAGGTCAGATCACTATCCATGTGTAACTCAGCAAGTAAAATCATTCTTTTTGTGTTGCTTTATCAGTTGTTTAGTTTTCTGGGGTTTTTTTTAATGTTCATGATTTCAGACAGAACCATCAGCAGCGCTTGAGGACAGCATAATCTCTATTACTATTGCGATAGCAAGGCATTCTCCAAAATGCACAACTGCAATCTTGAAGTATCCCAAATTTGTGCAAACAATTGTGAAAAGCTTCAAATTGAACAGAAGAATGGACGTTCTTCCTTCTCAGATCAATTCTGTCCGCCTCTTAAAGGTAATACTGGTCCGCTCATACAAAATTATCTTGGGGCCGTTATATTCATTGTCTTTGATGTTTTTTGTCAGAGCCTGATGATTCAAGTTTGTTAAGCTATCAATCCTCAGAGCTATTGTAACCTTCGTTCTTCTTTCTCTCTTTTTAATTTCACTAAGGTTTTGGCCCGGTATGATCAAAGTACTTGCATGGAATTTGTGAAGAACGGGACTTTCAATGCGGTCACGTGGCATTTGTTTCAGTTCACCTCCTCTCTTGACTCATGGGTGAAGCTAGGGAAGCAGAACTGCAAGCTTTCATCTACTTTGATGGTTGAACAGCTCCGGTTTTGGAAGGTCTGTATCCATAGTGGCTGTTGCGTATCTCGCTTCCCAGAGCTATTCCCAGCTCTGTGTCTGTGGTTGAGTTGTCCATCATTTGAAAAGCTCAGGGAGAAAAATCTCATCAACGAGTTTACTTCTGTGTCAAAGGAGGCCTACCTGGTCCTTGAGGCTTTTGCCGAGACACTTCCTAATATGTACTCACAAAACACTCCACGGAACGAATCTGGGACATGGGACTGGAGTTATGTTAGCCCTATGATTGATTCAGCACTGAGCTGGATAACATTGGCCCCTCAATTACTCGAATGGGAGAAAGGAATCGAAAGTGTCTCTGTATCCACTACTTCTCTGTTGTGGTTGTATTCAGGTGTCATGCGTACAATTTCCAAAGTCCTTGAGAAAATCTCTGCCGAGGGAGAGGAAGAACCTCTACCATGGCTGCCGGAGTTTGTTCCAAAGATTGGCCTTGCCATTATCAAGCACAAGCTTCTTAGTTTTTCTGTTGCAGACGTAAGTAGGCTTGGAAAAGACTCCTCCAGGTGTTCCTCTTTTATGGAATTTTTGTGTTTTCTGAGAGAACGATCTCAAGATGACGAACTAGCATTAGCTTCTGTGAGTTGTCTTCATGGGTTAACACAGACTATCATGTCCATCCAAAATCTGATAGAATCTGCTAGATCGAAGATGAAAACTTCTCATGATGAAAGTATTTCCACTAGAGATGAATCTGTGCTTGCAAAAGGAATACTGGCAGAGTCTCTGGCTGACCTAACATCTGTGTCGAGCTCTTTTAGAGATTCTGTTTCATCAGAATGGCCCATCGTGCAATCCATTGAGCTACATAAACGAGGCGGATTAGCTCCCGGCGTTGGACTTGGTTGGGGAGCTAGCGGTGGTGGGTTTTGGTCAAACAGAGTTCTGTTGGCACAGGCCGATGCCGGTCTTCTGAGTCTCTTTCTTAACATCTCTCTGATGGACTCGCAGGATGATCTGGGATCTGTTGGCTTAATGGATAAAATGAACTCCGCTTTAGCTATGTGCTTGATTGCAGGGCCAAGGGATTATTTACTCGTGGAAAGAGCCTTTGAATATGTCCTTAGACCGCATGCTTTAGAGCACCTGGCCTGCTGTATCAAGTCAAACAAAAAAAACATATCGTTTGAATGGGAATGCAGCGAAGGGGACTATCATCGTATGAGCAGTATACTTGCTTCTCACTTCAGACATAGATGGTTACAGCCAAAGGGAAAATCAAAAGCCGAGAAAGGGGTCAGTGGGGTAAGGAAGGGCACAGTTGGTCTGGAGACTATTCATGAGGACGGTGAAATGCCAAATTGTTCAACTCAGTATAAACAATCAGACTCCTCGACCATAGAGTGGGCTCACCAGAGAATGCCCCTACCTCCACACTGGTTTCTCAGCGCCATCTCAGCAGTTCACAGTGGGAAAACCTCAACAGGGCCACCAGAATCCACGGAGTTGCTTGAAGTTGCAAAAGCTGGAGTTTTCTTTCTTGCAGGACTTGAGTCATCGTCTGGTTTTGGATCGCTTCCGTCTCCTGTTGTGAATGTGCCGTTGGTTTGGAAGTTTCACGCTTTGTCTACCGTATTGCTTGTTGGAATGGACATCATCGAAGACAAGAACACTAGGAACTTGTACAATTTTCTGCAGGAGCTCTATGGGCAGTATCTTGATGAAGCGAGACTAAATCACCGTGACATTGAGCTCCTGAGGTTCAAGTCAGAGATTCACGAGAACTACTCTACTTTTATGGAGATGGTCGTGGAGCAGTATGCTGCGGTGTCATATGGTGATGTAGTATATGGGCGGCAGGTCTCGATTTACCTGCATCAATGTGTGGAACACCCTGTTCGGCTTTCGGCATGGACGGTGCTCTCCAATGCCCGTGTTCTCGAGCTTCTACCGAGTCTAGACAAGTGCTTGGGAGAAGCGGATGGTTACCTTGAACCGGTTGAGGTAATTTGGAAAAAAAAAAAAAAAAGGGTTGATAGTGTTATATAATGACATCTTGAGTATCGACTAAGATAAAAATGGTGAATTGATTTGCAGGAAAATGAGGCCGTCATTGAGGCCTATCTGAAGTCATGGACTTGTGGAGCATTGGACAGAGCAGCGACGCGTGGATCAATAGCCTACACGCTGGTTGTGCATCACTTTTCATCATTAGTCTTGTGCAACCAAGCCAAGGATAAAGTATCCCTGCGGAATAAGATTGTTAAGACTCTTGTCAGAGATTTATCCAGAAAGAGGCATCGTGAGGTAACTCGAAAAATCCCTAATCTCTTGTGGTTGTGGATCTGAGGACTAAGGATGATAATGAAATGTGGATAAATATAATAGGGGATGATGCTAGATCTCCTGAGGTATAGTAAAGGGTCGGAGAACGCCATGGAAGAAGAGAAAAGAATGGAGGTGTGGAAAGAGTGTTGCGAAGGGAACTCGACCCTCCTCTCGGAACTGGAGAAGCTCAAATTGGCCGCACTCTGTGGAAGAAGGTGAAAACCTGAGAGAATGAGAGGAAAGAAAGTTTTGTTTTCTTTGTGTGTTTTGAGTGAGGTTCGCTGTGTAATTAAAAACGATCTTCTTATTCTCTTCTGTTTTGATGGGTTTGATTTTCCAAATGCTGACTCAAGTTCAGTGACTGACATTTGAAAGCGACGTGTCTGTCGTAGAAATCAATCATATATTGGCACCAGACACACTTTTCACTATCAAAAGTTTGTCTGAACCCATTCTTAATTTGAAGACATTATTATTATTATATATTATCTCAAAGAGTATAGATTAGATCATCCTCCTCCTCAGAGGCGATGTTGTTTAGTGGTGGTTCAGTATTAATAATGCCCAGCAGCTTCTGCTCTCCCCTCACTCTTCTTCCTATGAAACTCTCTCCCGCAGCAATTCGATCCTCATCCTCTTCCGCCGGGTCGTCGTCGAATTTCGATCTGAGGACGTATTGGACGACTCTGATCACCGAGATCAACCAGAAGCTGGATGAGGCCATACCGGTCAAGCACCCTGCCGGGATCTACGAGGCTATGAGATACTCTGTCCTCGCACAAGGCGCCAAGCGTGCCTCTCCTGTTATGTGTGTGGCGGCCTGCGAGCTCTTCGGTGGCGATCGCCTCGCCGCTTTCCCCACCGCCTGTGCCCTAGAAATGGTGACATTCCACTCTCTCTCTCTCTTTCCTTGTAATCTCAAATTGAATCTAATAATATTGGAATGACACAATCAGGTCCACGCGGCTTCGTTGATACACGACGACCTCCCCTGTATGGACGACGATCCTGTGCGCAGAGGAAAGCCATCTAACCACACTGTCTACGGCTCTGGCATAGCCCTTCTCGCCGGTGACGCCCTCTTCCCTCTCGGCTTCCACCACATTGTCTCCCACACGCCCCCTGAACTTGTTCCTCGAGCCACCATCCTCAGAGTCATCGCTGAGATTGCCCGCACCGTCGGCTCCACTGGTATGGCTGCAGGCCAGTACGTGGACCTTGAAGGAGGCCCCTTTCCTCCTTCCTTTGTTCAGGAGAAGAAATTCGGAGCCATGGGGGAATGCTCCGCCGTGTGCGGAGGCCTCTTGGGCGGTGCCACTGAGGACGAGCTCGAGAGTCTCAGAAGGTACGGGAGAGCCGTCGGGATGCTCTATCAGGCAGTGGATGACATCACCGAGGAGAAGAACAATGGAGCAGGGAAGGCAATGGAGATGGCTGAAGAGCTCAAGGAGAAGGCCAAGAAGGAGCTTCAAGTGTTTGACAACAAGTATGGAGGAGGAGACACACTTGTTCCTCTCTACACCTTCGTTGACTACGCTGCTCATCGACATTTTCTTCTTCCCCTCTGAATTTTGGGCCTCTCTTTTCCATATGGGCCTTTCACCCTTCTAATGGACCCTTGTGTGTTTTTTTAGCCCATAGCTTCTTGGTCATTTTCGCTACATGTCATTATCATTTACTTGCATACTAAAACCAAGTTAATTTATAGCAATCTATACTATGTATTTATTTATTTTGACCAAAATAGCGAAATTTTAAACTAGTTGAATTGTTTATTGCTTGAATATCACACCCAAACAGAAAAAAAAAAATGCTTAAACAAGTTAAAAAGGACGTTTCATGCCAGTACATTTCCTCCAAGATAATTGCGAATGTGACCATTAGTATAGTTCTAAATCAAGACCTAAGCCAAGTCTATGTTTTTAAAAACTCTTTCCACTATTAATCGTTGACCATCTTATCCAATTATATATCTACATAATTTGAATTTGCTACACTATATACCTCCACGTTTAATATTTTTCTTTCAAACAAAAAATAAATATCGTCAGTCTCTTTCATTCGGATTTCGGATTATCATCACACTTAATTTTCCTAATATACGAGGATTGAATAATCCGAGTTTGCGTGCAAAACATGTTTATTGGACTAAATGAATTATATTTTGCCAATATATATTTGAGTTGCTTACTTTTTCATGATATTATTTCTGAACTTATCTACCTAATGTTTGCAGAAACTAGCTAATACCATATATATATATTTATATATCAACATGCTGAATTATATTATTGTTTAAAGTGGGACTGATGCAGCACATCTTAATTTGTTATTCTTTTGAACAAACAAGTTTTATCAGCTTTTTCTGTTCGTGTTCTATCGGATTTTTTCGACAGCTAATATTTTGCTCTTTTACCGCTTCATTAGCTTTAGTTGAATAAGCAGCTGATAGCTGAATTACGTCAAATGATAGTTTTATATGTTAGAAATTTAATTAATTTGATTAAGAGCACTAAAAATGGTGTAGGCTTACAGCTATATTGGATTTGGGACAATGGAAACCATCAGAAATTGATGTCCCGATTCAATGAATCTGTGAAACTCTTTTATACATTTGTTTAAATTTTCATAATCAATCAATGGATCGAGTAATAATACTAACTGCTAAACTACATATATAATTAAGTCTGCCTCATGCATGATAACTTTTATAAAGTGTTTCTCTAAAATTGGCCGTATCTGTTAGCATGATCCTTGAACGTCGGTGTGTGTGTCAATGGGTCATTAGGGTTTATCATGAAAATAATTAAACCTTGTTAAAATATTGGGTATTATTTGGTGATAATATTTTCAAAGTGATCATCTGACATTGCGTTTAGTGGTTGAATGATCTTTAATATATATATCTTGGTACTTGAACAAGGGAATAAATACCTATATAGTAGTACTGTATATTGCTTCATGATACGAATTTGATAACATATAAATAAACATGGCACGCAACCATACTATAGACCATTAATTTACTTGTTAGTTGTTGATGTGATTAACGACACAAAACCCTGGAGGATAGATATATTGAAATACCAAATTAGTGTTTTGTTTTACATTGGCATCGCGAGGCATGGATGACGTGGAAAAATTAATTAAAAGAAAAGGATTATTTGTTTTTTTCTAAGAAAAAGAAAGGCTAGAGAAAGAAGAAGTGATCGACATGAGAAAAAGAAGAGGGAAATGTAATGGGAGTGTAAGAGCATCATTATAGGTATTTTTTTAGAGATAGATCTTAGTAATATTTAAATAATTTATTTGTAAAAGTGATTGTTAAGAGATAGTATTTTTGAGTTAAGATTTTTGTGTGATTAATGGTAGGCTCTTAACATGTGGTTCTTAGAAAAAAAAATATTAATATAAAAATAAAATTTATAATTATAGAAAATTTAATAATTGTTGCAAATTAAAAAAATTAAAACATACATGAGATACAATTTATAACATAAATCACAAATATTTTAAACTTAATTTTTTCTATATTTTGTCCATATATGCTCGACCAAATCATTCTTCAATTGTTGATGCATACCTCGATCACGAACTCGAACTCTATTATTGAAGAAATTAGAAGGCGTATTTGTAGAATATGTGAAATCCGTCTAATCAAAACGTGACACGTGACACCTCTTAGGTATTAAAGTGATTTAAATTAAATAGTTAATACCTTAATAAGCTAAGGAACGTTTTTTAGCTTATTAAGGTATTAACTATTTAATTTAAATCACTTTAATATCTAAGATTCAGCTAACATCCCCCTATAATGATGCTCTAAGTGTTGTTGAGGGAGGGATGGGTGGATGGATTGCAGCAAACTTTAACGGCGACAACTCGCCGCTTCGCTGGGCGTCCCACTTTGTGACGACCTTTGGGGAGAGTAAAGGGACAATAATCCACGTGGGCTAAAAATGCAAGCATGTGCCGCCACATCATCGGTCAATTGGGACCAAATACCTCTCTAGATACTAACTTATGACTATCTTATGTTTTTGATATAATAATTAAAGGGCGACCGAATCAAAGTGGTTTATTCCTTTGTCTGGCTGCCGCATCTTTACTCTCCCTTTGGTCAACTCCTTGCTCCTCTTACTCGAGATCAATATATATGGATATCGTACTATTTTAGTATTAAAGAAACAAACAAAAACCAGTTAATTAATCTCACTCACCACATATAGATGACCAAATTAAATGGCATTGCATTAGAACGAACTCCATGCTTAATATATATATAGATCGTGATATGCGTAGGGTGGATTAATAAAAAAAAATGCTAGCTAATAATGTAAGTGTTGCGTCTCCCATTGTGAGATTAATTTACAATCTCGAGTTTTAAGAGTATGGCTACTTGAAATGATTTGATACTAAGAAATAGGGATATTGCATTAGAACGCGCATAAGACATTTTCATTATATACAAGTGCATGCACCACATGGTACCCCATAATATATGTATAAGGTTTATGATAATCTTTTTGTTTTTGTTTTTGGTTGACTATAGGTTTAGTCGTTATAGTAATCTAAATAATATACAAGTTTTGATGAAAATATAAAGGCTGCAATCGTGTCCAAAGATGAGGGGACTGAGATGCGAGAGAGACGTTTATATATATAGTTAAGTTGGGCCCTTTGGTTTTCCAGTCTCTAATGTGTAGGGGTACTAGCTTAGCTAGTTATACTCCGTGCCAAATAAAGCATTAACAAAATTGGCACCACCTATATATACGACCATGTGGAGAGAAGGGAGGGGTGTTAGATAGATTACAGGGAAAGTAAAGGGGTAGGAAAATGGAGAAGTAAGAAAAGAAAGGGACCAAAAGAGAAATATACATAGGTGGAACCCGATCCGGATAAGTGTGGGGTCTCTTTTATTTTTGGGATTAAAGGGCGTATCTGTTGGAGGGACAAATGGAGAATGTGTTGGATTTCATTTTTTTTTTCTGAAATTTGATCTCTTAATTAATACTAATTTATAGTAATAATCACGATTTTTAAATTTGGCAATAACATACTAGTAATTAAGAAGAATTAATGGAGAGATAAAGGATCAGTATCGCCACGGCGGCATGACTCATCCGCTCCTCCCAATACACCGTCGTTTATATATACCCAACAGTACCCAACCCAACCCAACTTAAAAAAAAGAAAGAACCGAACAAAAAACGTAAAAAGAGAAAAAGCTCGCTCGCTCTCTCTCTCTCTCATCTTTCTTTCAATCTGCCTCCTCAATTCTCAAATTCTGAATTTCTGGGATTCTTAAGATTTATTTTTGAATATCTTCATCTTCTTCTCCAAGTCTCTCTCTGCTGGAGAGGGGATTCTCTCTCAATTAATAAGAAGATCTTCTTCTTCCTCGGTTCATTCCCCTTTCTCTTCCTCGTCGTAACGTCGTCAATGGTGAACGAGAGTTGCGCTAGTAGACTTATTTTGGACGCCTCCCAGTCCAAGGCCACCATGGACCGCCGCGAGCGCATAAAAATGGAGGTCTTCGACGAGGTTCTCCGCCGTCTCCGGCAATCCGACATCCAAGACGCCCATCTCCCTGGTTTCGAAGACGAGCTCTGGACTCACTTCAATCGCCTCCCTGCCAGGTAGGTATCTATTCCTTGCTTCTGCATGCATTCAATACATAGACTGATTGGTTCTGTTTGTTTAGGTATGCGTTGGATGTGAATGTCGAGAGGGCCGAAGACGTCTTGATGCACAAGCGATTGCTGCATTCTGCTTACGATCCCCAAAATCGCCCTGCCATCGATGTTCATCTCGTCCAGGTGATCGAGTTTCTCTTCTTTTTGTTGCTTGCTTCTATCCATGCCATCCGACGAGACGGACGAGAGATGTCTCTCACCACCCACCATATATGATACATACTTGTTTGTTAGCCTCATCTTTCATCTTTTTATGTCATCTTTTGGATTCCTGGGCTCACAGGATCTGCTCTTTTCTTAAGGTTCAACCTGCCGACTCTCCTACTTATGATGCTGCTCTTTCTTCTCCTACCCGCAAAAGGTTTCCTTGCCACACTATCCTAGCTAATTCCTCCTTCTTCTACTTTATAACATCTTCTTCTTTCCAGCATTCATCCGCCGCCTGCCTTTGGTTCTTCCCCTAATCTTGAAGCACTTGCACTTGCAGCTTCTATCTCCCAAGACCACGATGGAGACAACTCCGTTCATAACAATTCACTCTATTCACGGTACAACATGTCCAAACGCAACCACTGATGTTTCTCCTGCCAACAAATTTTCTTGCAGTTCCAACTCACCCTGTTGTTTCTATTGCAGGCCCTTGCATGAGATCACTTTTTCCACACAAGACAAGCCTAAACTCCTTTTACAGGTATTTTATTGTTACTCGGAACATTTGGATAACTACTAGGATTTCTCGCTTCTTGCATTATTCAGCATGATAAGAAAACTTCTATTCACCTCTTTAACTTGTTTGCATGTTTTTTAATCCCTGGTCTCAACATATCCATTTTTAAATGCAAGTACCAGTCTTCCTTCCCTGTCACCCATCCTTGAGAACTAGGGTACACTTATTGTCGGGGTTTTCGTGTTTCTTGCTCCCAAATACACTCTGCAAAATTTTATATTTCTAAGTAAATAAAATGTATGTTTGAGTCTGATGATGTCATCAATTACAATTAAATATGAATTCAATTTATCTTCAAGTATACTAACTAAGCCACTGTAAATAATGCAGTTAACTGCCTTGCTTGCTGAGCTTGGGCTGAACATTCAAGAGGCGCATGCTTTCTCTACAACTGATGGCTACTCACTAGATGTTTTTGTTGTTGATGGCTGGCCGTACGAGGTAATTTTTCTTTGTTGTGATCCTTATCCTTGTATTGTGTACTTTATCTATGCTCTATAGAACAGAAGTGTGTTGGCATGTGGCTGTAATCCATTTCTTTTCAAGAGGTCCATTTATCTATAGAATCCTTGGCTTTATGTTCTTTCAAATTCTTAGAGATCTAGTAGCTGAAACGCAACTATTTTGGTATGCGAAAGGTTCCGGATTATAATTGTGGCCGTCTTGCTATCTTTTTTATTTTACAGGAAACAGACAGACTTAGAATATCATTGGAGAAAGAAGCAGCAAAGATCGAGGTACTTGTTTTCAATTGTAAACGTAACTAACTTCATGCAAAGTATATTGAAATTTATGATCCATTGACAACCTTTTTTTCTTCCCAAAGCACCTGATTCTGAATGAAATGAGTTAGATGCTTTATTTGAAGTCTTATAGTTTGTCATAGGGACACCATCTGACGCACATGTGTTGTTATAAGTTATTATTAATAATTCTTTTCATCATACTCAGTTGCAGAGCCAAAGCTGGCCTATGCAGCAATCCTTCTCTCCTGAAAAGGAAAATGGGCAAACAGGTGCCAGAACTCATGTTCCAATACCCAATGATGGAACTGATGTTTGGGAAATCAACCTTAAACACTTAAAATTTGGGCATAAAATAGCATCTGGTTCTTATGGAGATCTGTAAGTTGGCTGTATCTATCAAACGCATTTTCATATTAAGGTTCTCAGATGTTAATCTCTCTCCTTCCTTGTTACCTCTTGTCTTATTCAGGTATAAAGGTACATATTGTAGCCAGGAAGTTGCTATCAAAGTCCTCAAGCCAGAGCGTCTAGATTCAGAGCTAGAGAAAGAGTTTGCCCAAGAAGTGTTTATTATGAGGTTTGTGTGCCTTCTTGTCTGTTCCCTTGTAGTCTTATATGTAGATAAACGAAAGCAGCTGACCTAAAGTATCATTCAAAATCTTTCGGTTTCAGGAAAGTTCGACACAAAAATGTTGTTCAGTTCATTGGTGCTTGCACCAAGCCTCCACATCTGTGTATCGTTACAGGTATGTTGCAGTGACCATGTTTATCCGTATTATTCTGTTTGATATCACGTTCTACGCTTACCATTTTCTTTCTCTCGCCTGTCTCTTTCACATTTAATAGAATTCATGCCCGGTGGAAGTGTATATGACTATCTACACAAGCAAAAAGGCGTCTTCAAGCTTCCAACTTTGTTTAAAGTAGCTATAGATATTTGCAAAGGGATGAGCTACTTACACCAAAATAACATAATTCACAGAGATTTGAAGGCTGCCAACCTCTTAATGGACGAAAATGAGGTAATACTCTCAACTTAATGTTATATATCTTTGGTATCCATGTACACTAATAGGTTTGTAGTGGGAATGTACGAATCTATTATATACTTGGGATGAAATACTGCCCCATGTTAATGCTCAAATAACATGTTGTGCTGCATCACATGCACTATCTCCTTGAGCTTGCGTTCTACAGGATTTTATTCATTATATTCTTCTCGTTCACGTGGTGTCCACTACCTAGTTAGTTCTTGCTTCTGTGGATAGCAATTCAGTTGCAGATTCACATATATGTCTGGGTTTATTGTTACAGGTGGTTAAGGTTGCAGACTTTGGGGTGGCCAGAGTGAAAGCACAAACTGGAGTTATGACAGCTGAAACTGGAACATATCGCTGGATGGCTCCAGAGGTATGTTTGTCATGGTGGTTCTATATAGTCTGCATTGACCCGCTTCGCCCATAAGACACTTAATAAACTAATTGGTTACCTGGTGGCGTTTATTAGATGACTAGTATCTCATTCTGACACTATACTTTCTTGCAATTCAGGTAATAGAACACAAGCCATATGATCACAAGGCTGACGTATTCAGCTACGGGATTGTGCTATGGGAGTTGTTGACTGGGAAGGTACTTGCGTGACTCTTTAGTTTGAAAAAATAAATACCTAGACGGGCTGATAGTGTCTAACTGATGGGTTGATTTGATGGCAGCTTCCATATGAATACATGACGCCATTGCAGGCAGCAGTAGGGGTTGTCCAAAAGGTAATTTGGTGTGTAGAATGCATTGTGGTTGTAAACGTTTTCAAAATCTTACAAAGAGTGTGTGATTGTCAGGGATTACGGCCTACAATACCAAAGAACACGCATCCAAAATTGGCAGAGCTGTTGGAGAGATTGTGGGAGCAGGATTCGACGCAGAGACCAGACTTCACAGAGATCACAGAGCAGCTGCAAGAGATAGCCAAGGAGGTAAATAAAAGGATTTGGATTGAAGGAAATGAATATATGAGTAAATGGAACAATAGAAGAGTAAAGAGTAATGAGCGTGTGTGTGTGTGTGTAGGTAGGAGAGGAAGGAGAGGAGAAGAAAAAATCGTCAACAGGACTAGGAGGGGGTATCTTTGCAGCCCTGAGGAGAAGCACCACACATCATTGAAAACTGTATAGAAATTAATTTTCAGATGAATGATAATGAGCCTGTATTTGTTTGTGTGTTGCTTCCTTATTCAATTGATTTTGATCTCCTTTGTAAGATGCTGCACCACATTTTCTATCTGAAAAAAAGCTTTTACTGAAAGAAAACCACTTCATTTAGCATTAACACCAGCAAAGCGAATGCACCCAAAAAAAATAGAACAAAAAAAAGAAGCTAACACCGAAGAAATAAAGAAGACCACCACCAATTTTTTTGGATACCTTAAAAAAATATGTGTTAAAAAAAAAAAAAAAAAAGTCAAAAGTCAAAAGAGAGGCTTGGTGGCCCTTAAAGACACATGAAGTACTTTGGTTCTCTGTTTCTGTTCTTCTTCTCTAACGTCTAGGGGTCGTTCAATCTTTTTTACTTAGGATCAAACCAAACAGACTATTTTAACCCTAACTCTCGATCTGGTGGGGACGATGAGTGGACGGCCGGCGAAAAGGCCGAGGATCGACCATTCCGTCGTGAATGTCTGGGAACGGGAGGTCGGTCTCTTGCCCAATCGCAGTTTCTCCAACCGTTTTTCAGCCTCCGAGGTCTCTCTCGCCTTATTCCTCTATTGATTCACTCTTTTCTTTATCTAGGGTTTTTTTTCTGATTCTCATTGAATCTGCGTTGCTCCTCTATTACCTTTGTTTACCCCAATGCGTTTAATGATGGCGATTCTTGTGATTGGTATCCTCCTCCTCCTCTGTCTTTGTCTTTTACTCTAACTGCTTTCAGAATCCTCAATTCCAAATTTGTGTAATTTCTGGTGTTTGGTGCTTCTACTGATAGGAAACCAACTATCTTAATTTGATCATTGTGTTACCAGGATCTATTGCGCCGTCTCGGACTTGACAAGAAGCTCGACAAGCATAAGGGTTGTGTAAACTCAGTCAGTTTCAATGCAGATGGAGATCTCTTGCTCTCTGGTTCTGACGACAAACAAGTTATTCTGTGGGACTGGGAGACTGCTTCTGTCAAACTCTCATTCGATTCCGGCCACTTCAATAATGTATTTCAAGCCAAATTTATGCCTTTCTCTGACGATCGTAGCATAGTCACATCTGCTGCTGATAAGCAGGTAGGTACACCCGTCCTCTCTTCTTCCCTTTTAGAGATGATATATCATACCTCCTGGAAATATCTACTACACACTTGATAGGACTTGCTCATCTTAGAACTAGCTATGTTTCCCACAACTTGAAACTGCATTCATTTTGTAACAGGTCCGCTATTCCAAAATTCTTGAATCTGGACAAGTAGAGACTTCTTTGTTGGGTAAACATCAAGGACCCGTCCACAAGTTGGCTGTTGAGCCTGGAAGTCCCTTCTCATTCTATACTTGTGGTGAGGATGGGGCTGTAAAGCATGTGAGCCTGCAGAACAATCCTTTCATATTTTTCTTCTTCTTATCATTGGGTTTTAAACCTAGGCCGCCCATAACAACAAGTATTTTCAGTTTGATCTTAGGACTCGGGTGGCTACAAATCTTTTCACTTGTAAAGAAGCAAAGTTCAATTTAGTTGTCTACCTGCATACAATTGCAGTTGATCCGAGGAACCCTGGTCTTCTTGCGGTGGCTGGAATGGATGAGTATGCTCGTCTCTATGATATTCGCAGCTATCGCTCAGAGGGTTGGTATAATTTTACCCAACCCGTAGACCACTTTTGTCCTGGCCATTTGATTGGAAATGACCATGTAGGAATTACAGGTCTGGCATTCTCAGATCAAAGTGAGCTCCTTGCTTCATATAGTGACGAGTTCATCTATCTTTTCACCCCTGATATGGGGCTAGGCCCAGCCCCATATCCTTCTTCAACTAAGACTGAGGAGAGGATGACGCCTCAGGTTTATAAAGAGCACAAGAACCGTGAAACAGTCAAAGGTGTCAACTTTTTTGGACCCAAGTGTGAGTATGTGGTAAGTGGTTCTGACTGTGGCCGAATATTCATCTGGAGGAAGAAAGACGGAGAGCTCCTCCGTGCCATGGAAGCAGACAAACATGTTGTCAACTGTATAGAGTCTCATCCTCACATGCCACTGATGTGTAGCAGTGGAATAGATACTGATATCAAAATATGGACTCCTGGAGGAACCGAGAAACCTGTGTCGCCAGCAAATGCAAAACAGGTTATGCCACCAGCTATTGCTAACCTAGATTGCTTTATAGATGTTTTTTTTTTTTTTTTTTTTTTTTTTGTGCGTGTTTGAAGACTCGGGGATATGCTGAATTTGGTTGTTTGTATGTTGCTTCTTGAAAACAGGCTTCGTGTTTTGGTAACCTGCAATGGTTCGACGGATATAATGTGGATGGTGATGATGATTCTGACGATGAATCTAGTGAAGAGAGTTCAGATGATGATGATAGTGCGGAAGAGGAAGAGGAAGAGAATGGTGAAGTTGAAGTTGATGATGATGATGATGATGAGGATGAAGGATGAGATTTGTATAGGACATGTAGTTATCTAAAAAGGATACAAAATACTAGGATTCGATAGACATTTTCATCCTCAAGCAATGATGGATCACATTTTCATCCTCAAGCAATGATGGATCACATTTTCATCCTCAAGCAATTGGCTTCTGTTGTCAGCTTATTCTATTCAAAGAACTATCCAAAGTAATAATAATTTAAAAGGTCAAAGACGTCATTGGCAATTGTGAGCCCAAAAAAAAAAATAGTGAGCCCAAAAAGGCCCATAGACTATCGAAGGCCTTTGACATCTGCGACTGCGCGAGGTCAGGCTTCGTCTTCCTCCAACGCTTGCTTGCTTGAGGGAGGATGGTGGTTTCTCCGGGGCTGCTCTCAAATGTTTCAGGTCACTATTCGCTCCAGTTGCTTCTTCTATATACTCTCTCAGTGCTTTTTTGATATTGTCCTTATTAAGTAATCTAGCTTCGATTTGGATTCGTAGGCTTAATCCGATTGGCTCCGTCACACCGAATTCAAAGACACGATGGGTTCGGACCCAGTTGCTTCAAGTTTTCTGGGGATCCTGTAATTTACCTTTATTTCTATGGCGGATTATGACTAGGAACAACTTAGGAAGCTTTTTCACTTAGCTAAATGTTTGTGTGTAGAGTATCAATGGGAGAGTCAGTCACAAACATGTGCGTGGCTATGGCACGGTGGTATCTGTAGGTCAAAGTTGGAATAAGCTACCTGAAGAAGAGCCCTTATGGCTCAGCCTTCTTAGAGACATCGTCTGGTACCACTTATAATATTTCTGCTGGATATAAGAGTGTGAATGTTGCATTGAATTGCTTTTCTTGTTCATCTATCTTTAAAGGAGCACAAGATCTCTCTTGTCTTTCATGGCTGAGCAACCGAGTCAGCTGAAGTACATAGAGTGGCCAAGTTTTACAAGCACGGTATGTGTTGTTTCTTTGTTGTTGTTACAACATATGAGAAAGAGAGAGCAGTTTGTGGCTGTAACTTTGGTGTGTTTTGGGATCAAACAGCTCAAGACTGCGACACTGAGTCTGTGTCTGGTAGCCGTCTTCATTGTTGGGCTATCGTCGGTGGACGCTGCACTTTGTTACATGTTGGCGTTGATCTTGAGGAAAGCCCCATGAGGAAGGAAGGCAACTCCATTATCAAGCGTCTCTTGGAGATGTTAAATGTTTTTGATGTAGAAAGAATGCAGGAGAATGTACTAAAATCAATGTTTTTAAAAGTTGAGTGAAATAAAACTCTGTTCGTTAAGGGAATCCAATCTCATACATGTCCCAGCAAATCAGACCATAAGTAATAAGATGAGAGAGAGAGAGAGAGAGATTGTGAGGAAATGGAGCTACTTGAGAACAAGAGCAGCATTGCGAATGGAGAGATAGTGGTGGACTTGGTCGGAAGAAAGCGACCTGAGAGTCTTGAAGACATGAGCATTAGCATAGCGGAGGTTTGTTCTAGGGTCAACATACGGTGCCTGCGAGAGATTAGAGAAGCTGATTGAGTTATTGTTTTGGGTGAATCGAAAACATGATAAAAAGCAACCACCACCTCATATCCAGTAAGATCGCAAATTCTCTTGCATGGTTGAGTGGAAGGAGGCGATTGAATGTTAACATCTGCGCACAAAGTAAGATTGATTGATTGATTGATTGATTTCTTTCAGAGATTCTAATTCGAAGAGAAAGCCTTACAAGTGGGGAGGTCGGGTTGGAAATTCTCAGCTTGAAGAATCTGCTTGAGGTGTTTCCACCTTCTGCTGCTTGATTGTCCTTTTGGGTACTTTTCGTATGCCTGAATCTTCTTGAAGCTCAACCGCGACGGCACCACTATATCTGCCTCCATCTCTCTCTCTTTCGGTGGAAATCACCCTCCCTCCGATCCTTCTTATACGGTGTCGCCTTAAATGTCAAACCGGTCCGGTCCGATCCGGTACTGTGAATGAGCAGTTTAGTAAACCGATATCGACATTGGAAGCCGATTGGAGAAGATTTCTAGATCCATGCCATGCGAGGAGAGTTGATCTTCTTCTTCTTCGCCTGGATTCGATTAGCGAGAGATCTCTAGGGCTTTCGTCTCCATTCAATAAAGCTGGCCTCTTTCTTTCTGTAGAGATGGTTCTTGAGCGATGATGAGTGACTCTCAGCGATCACTTTCCGTGCGATTGAGCCGCCGGGGAGAGAGAAGCAATCATAAATCTAAAGGTCTCTCTCTCTCTCTCTCTCTCTTTTTTGTTTTTGGTTTTGATTAACTCAGGAGATATTGATCATCACTTTCTTTCATGAGCTTCTAATTCTTCTCCTTGTCTCCAATGAATGATGTTGCAGATGCTGAGGCTGGCTTCTTCTCTCCCACCAGACTCCATACTGATTGCACTTTGAAAAAGATTTGGAAGGCGGGATTCCTTCGCTTGCTTCTTGTTGGCGGCATTCTCTGGATGCTACTCATTCTCTTTGCTCTCTTGTTTCATGTTTGGTCCTGTCAATCTTCCCTTTCTTTCTTCTCAGGTCTCCTTCTTTCTTTACCCATCCTGCCAATCTTCACTATATATATACACTCAAGAGTCCTAGTTCCTCCAACCATCTTCTGCATTCACCTCAGATTCTCTCTATCACAGTAATCAGATCAAAGTAACCTCATCTTCTTCTTGGTAATTCACTTGCAGCTATATGCAACAAAGAAGGCAGACTCTATGTCATGTTGGACACTATTGGATTTGTACCTAAACCGCAACACCGTAAGATTGATTCTATATCCATCCATTTAGATTCTAGAGTGACGGACGCTTAACAACTCTGTTCATTTCTAGGATGCCCCATTCCAGTAGCCTATGACCCTGATAAGGTGCTCCTTCCAAGTGAAAATACCGCAGATTCAATTGTCAGAAATTTGACCTACGTGACAGAGGATGAATCCTCTAAGTCTCAGTTTCCTCTTTTTGGCGGAAACATTAGCTGGTCTGAACGAGATGAAAGCTTCAAACTGAAACCTGAGATGAAGGTAAAAGGCTTCTTTTAGGCAATGGCTAAAGCTCTTCTCCCATTCTTCCCACTAGTAGCTTCTAAACCCAAAACGTTTCAGGTCCATTGCGGATTCATGCCACGTGGTGGGGCAGAGATGTCGTCTCTGGATAAAGAATACGTAAAGAAATGTAGATTTGTTGTTGCAACGGGGATTTTTGATGCATATGATGAACCCCACCAGCCATCAAACATAAGCAAGCGTTCTAAGAATCTCTTCTGTTTCCTTATGGTGGTAGATGAGGTCTCTCTCGATTTCTTGAGGAAAAATACCACTGTGAGGAAAGATGTTGAAGGAGGCAAATGGGTTGGCATTTGGCGTCTGATTCTACTGAAAACTCCTCCATATGATGAACCTAGGAGGAATGGTAAAGTCCCGAAAATCTTAACTCACAGGTTATTCCCTGAAGCACAGTACAGCATTTGGATTGATGGGAAAATGGAGCTTATTGTTGATCCCTTGCTTATTCTAGAAAGGTATGAATACACATAAGGTTATATGACCTGTAGATCAAACTGATCTAGCAGATTTTATACTTCTCCACAATGTTCATTAGCACAGGGTTGATATCCACTATCAGCTCCGTGTTACTAAGAAAGGGCTAAAAGATGCATATTTCGCTTTCATCTCACTTTCAGGTATTTGTGGCGTGGGAAACATACTTTTGCCATTGCCCAACACAAACACCACCGAAACATATATGAGGAAGCTGATGCGTGCAAGAGGAGAAAGCGATACGCCCGACCTCTGGTTGATCTTCATATGAAAATATATCGATACGAGGGCTTGGAACCATGGAGCATCAAGAAGAACACTGTTAGTGGTAAAGACCATAGCAAAAACATCAATGTCATCATGCGCCTTATTGATTACTAAGCTTCTTGTCTTGCGTTACACAGATGTTCCAGAGGGAGCGGTGATAATAAGAGAGCACACTGCAATGAACAATCTGTTCAGCTGCCTGTGGTTCAATGAGGTACACCTGTTAACACCGAGGGACCAGCTAAGCTTTGGGTATGTAGTGGACAGACTAAAAGGAGCCTTCAAGGTGTTCATGTTCCAGAACTGTGAGTACAATTCTCTCTTCGAACTGCACCCTCACATTCGAGAGCATTCCTCGAAGATCGAGTGGGTCAAGAGCCTTCAGGAACTTAAAGGGAAGGGAGAGAGTTTGAAGGAAAGTCGAGGCGGCTTTGGGCTCTGGACTCCTTACCCTGGGGACCTTGATTCCGTTGAGCTGCCAAAAGTAGTAAGAACTTCGAAAGCTGGTTGAGGCAGTAAACATTATACACTAGTTTTTAACTTTTGTTTGATCGCTGTCTGCGGCTTGGATTCAATTCCGAATTTTCTAATTTATTAGACATACACGTCTTCTGAATTCTATTTGTAGATCGAAGAATCAAAAGCAAAACCCAAATTGTTATTAAAAAAAAAAAAGCTGCATTGATATTCGTGATCTGTAATAAGACAAACAAATGTATATTGTTCTGAACCAGTAATTTGGTCCTAAAAGAAAATATAAATCTCATAAATTACACAAGAATCTCAATCTCTTTTTCAAAAAGAATAACCATCCTCTCTTGCTCAGTTTCCAAGACAATAATGAAGGGTCTAGCGATTGGGAACAAACACCATTTATTGGGACGGAAGACACAGAGGTGCGAACCAACCGCAGAAGTTAAAAACAAAGATGCATTTGGACATATCATCACACCAACGCCGTAGATACTATGTCTTTCAGTTGGTGGTGTCGCGGCTGTAAAACTGATCAAGGGTTTTCGCGGGTATACGGTGAAGCAACTCACGGGGGAAAATTCGCAGGAGTGTCCATGCCAGGTCGAGTGACTGGAAGATATTCCGGGTATCGTAAGCTCCCTGAGCCACAAACTTCCTCTCGAACTTGTCCAAGAACTCCAGATATAGCTGTTTACATCAGACCTAAGTGTTAAGGGGAATAAGAAAGGAAAGCGTTTAGATTGTGTAGTAAGAAGAAAGAAGAGAGACCAGATCCTCGGAAGAAAGAGCTTCTTCTCCAACCACGGCTTTCATGGCCTGGACGTCCTTTCCAATAGCGTAGTTGGCATACAACTGAAATCACAAAAAGATAATAACAAGTTCAGCTCAGGCTAACAAAGTTGACAAGTAAAACTTACATAAACAAAGCTTATCTGCAATGCTGGTCATAGACAAGAAATAAAGTCTTACTTGATTAGAAACATCAGAGTGGTCCCTGCGAGTCATACCCTCACCAATGGCACTCTGCAATACAAAGTCAATTTACTTTCACAATGGATCACCTGGCTTCATCTATTGAATTTGAATTCCTCACACTTACCTTCATGAGACGAGACAGAGATGGCAAGACATTGATCGGAGGGTATATCTGTGGAACACAAAGAAAATTGGTATTTTAAACCAACTTTAAGGACATTTCATATCCATAAAACCAGAACCAACGTCTTACAGTTACACACAAACTAAAGTGAAACAACTTTCAAACTACTGCCATTTCGGGTATTACAGGAAAATACACAACATAATATATGCACAGAGACTGTTCACTAAAGAAATCCCAACTGGTATCAGTTCTATTCTTTAGCTTGCGCATGTAGATAGATTCAAATGTCATGTTTTAGTTTTCCAAGAATATATACTCTCATCCACATGCTCTCTCTATCTAAAACAGTGATTCAGGATTTAACATACTAAATCAAAAGTCCATAAATAGGATTGTTACAAGGTATATAAGTTTCTCATACAGGTTAAATTCACATTGTAGTAATATCGACTATGATAAGATCTTTGAACCAACTACCTTCTGAAAGATTGTACCTGTCTATTGTGAAGTTGTCGGTCAATATAGATTTGGCCCTCTGTAATGTATCCTGTCAGATCCGGTGTGGGATGTGTGATATCTGGACAGAGAAAAGAGGCAAAAAAAAAATTAGAAATTTCGAACAGAATTATCAACTGACAATCAAGCCTTTTATATAGGACCAACAAATTTTCCTCCATATGAAGGTTATATGATCAGATTTACTACATAGGTGTACTACACTAACACTAGTATATCAGCCACTCAGTTTGTTAGAGTCCCAAACAGCTAGACCTAGATGGACGCCTCGGGATCGGGCAACGACTTGACTTATTAAAGCATGCATGGTTTGTCTATTCCTCTAAGCCAGTTTCCGGGTGAGTTCTATCCCATTTTACTTTCAACGATCTCGGTCAAGCTTTACTATCACCTATTGTTTACTTCAGACAGAAATAATTCAAAATCAAAGGAAATGATGCTAAAACAGAAAACCATGAAAATAGCAACTAAGAATTACCATCGTTTGGCATAGTTAAAATGGGAATTTGAGTGATGGAACCTTTCCTCCCCTCAATTCGCCCCGCTCTCTCGTATATGGTAGCCAAGTCGGTGTACATGTAACCTGGGTAACCACGCCTTCCAGGCACTTCTTCACGGGCAGCAGAGACCTAAGGGTATTAGTCAACGTTAAACACTATGTTAGGCTTCCTAATTTCATCTCAAAGTACATGAGTTGTGAACAGAGCATCTGAGCATGTAAATATCGGTTATCACCTCACGAAGAGCATCAGCGTAGGAACTCATGTCTGTGAGAATGACAAGGACATGCTTGCCACATTCATATGCCAAGTACTCAGCCGTTGTAAGAGCAATGCGAGGAGTGATGATACGCTCAATAGTGGGGTCGTTTGCCTGTACGGAAAACAGAATGAGAAACCTTCAGAAAGAAACATCAAAACTAAAATTTGATTCAAGATGTCCATAGTGTGACTGCGAGACTTGCCAAGTTAAGGAAAAGAGTCACTCTCTCCATCGACCCATTCTCCTCGAAATCACGTTTGAAAAATTGCGCAGTCTCCATGTTCACACCCATTGCTGCGAACACAATGGCGAAGTTATCATCCTCTTGGTGCTGCAAATTCACATAAATGGACCAATGTGATACCGTTTTATGATACATTATGGCATTATACAACTACCTACTTACTGTAGATTTTACCAAATCAAAGGAGAAGGACAAGGGGCGTTAAGTCAGAAAAAGTAATAACTAACAAATTTCCCCAGGTAGGATTTGGACGACAGAGTATGCAGAAAAAAAAGATTCAAGAAAGAATATCCTAGCTTAACTTAACCCTCTAAATTTATTTTGTAATGGGTATGTCTAACTGTGTAAGGGATCACTGTTATAATTGTAACAAACCAATTTCCAACAGTAGACACGGACCAGTAATGTTTAAATCATGATACCTCGAGAAGATTATCGGACTTCTCTAAACGCTTAACCAAACCAGCCTGACGGCAAATCTGAGCAGCAATTTCATTGTGGGGAAGACCTGCAGCAGAAAAGAGGGGAATCTTCTGTCCTCTGGCGATAGAGTTCATGACATCAATGGTGGATATCCCCGTCTGAATCATCTCTTCAGGATAGGTTCTCTCACTGGGATTGATAGAACTTCCTGGAGAAACAAAAGTCTAGAATTATATCTGTGTGTTTCATAATGAGATATAATAATGTGACAAGAGGCTAAAGCAGCTCACCAGAAATATCCAAGTACGCCTCAGGCAATATAGGTGGACCATTGTCAATGGGCTTCCCTGAACCATTGAAAATGCGACCAAGCATATCCAAAGAAACAGGAGTTTTCAAAACCTATGAAAAAACATATTGGAAAATGTGAGACCACAGAATGGTAAAATATAAGAAAATCTTACTACTAAAAAAAAACTCCATAGCAAAAACATACCTCTCCTGTAAATTGCACAGTTGTGTACTTGTTGTCAATTCCAGATGTTCCCTCAAAAACCTGGACAAGGAAAATCAAAGAGCAGCCGCAGATGTTTAAAAAGGTGATAGAGTGAACTCTCAGCGTGTTGACTAATAATAAGGACTATGCAAGATTACATCTGCGTTCAATGAAGAGAGGGAAAAAATGAGAAACCTGAACAACAGCTTTCTCTCCATCAACTTCGAGAACTTGACCACGTCGGGTAGTTCCATCCCCAAGACGGATATTGACAATTTCTTGGTATTTAGGGCCCTAGAGAGAAAAGCAGTATCATGAGGAAGGCAAAGGGACAAAGAAGAGAAAGATGGATCTCAATATACCTTGACTTTTTCAAGGATGACGAGAGGGCCGGCAACACCAGAGACAGTTCTATACTCTGCGGTATAAGAAAAGGAAAACCAGGCAATGCAATCAAAAGATATGATCCCATGGGTCGAGAAATAAAAAGGTCTTACCCATGCCGATCTCCAGGGCACCCTCCTCCATTTCAAGGTTGTTTTCAGCAGCACCCATTTTAAGATCTCCAGAAATCAATCAGAGCAAACAAACATGTCAGCAACAAACAAAGAGACTCTAATATCATTACAAGCAAAGCAAATCCAGGGTAAGCAGCAATTGATGGACGTGAAATCTACTTAATTCCTTCCAAGCTGAGTTTCTCGATCGGATCAACGGGATTTCCTCTCAGAGCATACAACAACAATTCAAACCAAAATAATCGACATTGTTTATACTTTATAGTGTATGTATGTACCTCCTCCTTTCTTCTTAATCCAAAGATCTGTGAAGAGGCAGCAGACAGAGAGATCTCCTCCTGTATATGACTATACCACTGTCCACCGATAAAAGAAAGAGATAATTGGGTGAAAGACAACCCCTTTTTGGGCTAATAAAATTTTCAGTATTATGTCAAATAGTCTAAGACATTAATAATAATTAGCCCACATTTATCCCGAATTTAATCTTACGCGCTGATGAAATTGGAGACATCATCGACACAATTACTCTGGACAATTGCAATAAATGCGAGGTCATGATGTGTGTCCTTGTTATCTGACTTTTACGTGTTTAATACCTGATTTGTTAGATCCGATTTGGACATTCACAAATAATCATAGATGTATACTTTTATGCTTGCATGTAGTTATTTCTTAGGCATCCAGGAATATGGTGGATCTATGATTATTTGTGAATGTCCAAATCGGATTTTAAACCACTAACCTAATTGCATAAATATCTATTAATAAATTTAACACTATATAGATCGATATATAACTTTATGAAAGTATATGGATATGTAGCTAAATTTATAGATAACTACTAATTCCTTAATTAATTGGGACATGTTTACTCAAAATGAATGCATGAGTGTATCGTCCATCTACGCTCCTTAAATCTCCATATACTCTTTATAGATCTATATGTGAAGGTCCAAAATTGTTGTAAATACTATATGGAGGTCCATTCAAATTTTGCAAAACTCAAATTAAAGCTGTCTGCATTAAATGACAGTCATTTTGTCCTGTTTGTCCCAAATAACTCTTAGTTCAACTGTTGAGCATTTAAGTTATGTCAGATTGTTCTTTCGGTTTCGTAAAGCCAAATACTTCTCCCTCACGCGCATGACGTAAAAAATGGCTGGTTTTCTTGTAAATACTTACCAATTGAAGACCCATTTCAACGTTTATTTTTTTGTTGTCTAAGACATGCAACCCTAATGTTTTTTTCTTAATTTGATGCCCCAATAATACTTCTGCACAAATTGACTCTAAAAGAAAATGTATGTCCTCAAACAATTTCCTAGGCTATAATAAAACCTAATTAATACAAATAAATTTAATCCTTTTCTTTCTTTTTTTTTTTTATTTTTTAAGTAAAGGAATCAATAGAGTATATTTGTTGAACTCTTTGCTAATGCATTTCCTAGGAGAGATTTGATATAATGAAAACGAATCTAGAATTTTCATTTTCAAAAAAGAAGAAAACTCTCTCAGACGAGAGCTGTGAGATTCATTGATTGGTTCAGAACACAAATGCATACCAAATGCATGAGTTTCTCTCATCCGGAATCAGTGCTCTCCAGAGTTAAAGGTGGATGCAGAGGCAAATAACTACTTTAAAAGCAAGCTAGCTAGCACTAGCAGTGAAATGGATATGAAAATGAACAAAGAACGAAGAAGAAGAAGAATTCTTGTGACATTTCTGATTTTCTTTCTCCAGTCCACGGCTACCAAAGGGAACAAACAAAACTAACCACTTGATATCCTTTCCCAGTCAATGATAATAATAATAATAATGATAATCAAATATATATATATAGTTACAGATCTTGGAAAGAATTTAAGGACACCGTAAAATTCAATTGTCAGGAGCCGCCAGCCGCAGCTTGCGTGGGCGTGGTGCAAGGCGCCAAGGTGTTGTGAGGTAGATTCACTCCCGCTCCTCTCACTGACACCGCCGCTCCTCTCAACAAGCTTCCTCTGCTCACTAGGTTTGTATCAAAGAAGACAACAATCACTGTTATGTCATCGTGGAAATGTCTCCTCACTCCTCTGTCTATCTTTTTCAGGTCTGAGTATCTCATCTCTCTCTTCTTTGCCGCTTCTTGTAGCGCTACTTTCACCAGCCGCTTTGCAATCCCCTGCCACATATTTCCCCCCAACAAATAAAAGAGTTTTATTATTATGTGCAATTCTATAGACACATACCATGTCTATAGAAAAAAAAACAGAATGGGGGCGTGTTCTCACGTTTCGCGGATGATTCTGGACGATGTCTACTGCTTCTTGGTTACTCATATGTTCCCACAGTCCATCTGAAGCACATATAATGAACTGATCGTGCGGCTCCAGTGTATGCACCGTGATCGCCGGCTCTGCACTCAGTAATGGCTTGCTGAACGGTGACCTCAGCCTGAATTTTGCATACAGCGGTTCCCTGTTGAACTCTGACCGTTTCAAATACACATCACCAATGGATCTTGAAACCTGAGAATACTCAAAACCATAAAGCCACTCAGAAAGACAACAGGAATTGTAAAGACATACAAACAGAATTTTATTTTTCCAACTAGGGTTATATTATACCTGAATGATGCCTTTTACTCGCCAGACGTTATGTTTCAGAACCACAATATCCGGATGATCCGGATGCAGGGCTTGAAGTTCCCGTCTCACTGACTCTATAGATGCGTTGTGCTCGGCTGAGAGCTGAGTGGCATGAGCTTCACCGGTTACCCTCATGACTTGTCCCAGAACGGCCCGTGAGTCCCCTGCGTTGGCCACGTAGAGCTTCCCATCGCAGATGACACTTACAAGACAGCATGACCCCACAGTGGCTATCTGAGGTCTAGTTTGAAATTGATTTGTAACTATGGATAAGAACCCTTCTTCAGTCGCTTGGAACGCCTTTTTTATCACCTCTGACGACATACACTGTTGCTCTGCAGTAAACCCTGTGCACAGAAGACGAAGATGAGATCAAAGCTAAAACCATTTTCTGGACTAGTGCTAGTAGAGGAGAAATGCTTTATTTCCTTTCTAAGTGAAGCCTTAGACTAGCTAATCGAAACGAGAGTTAAAAAAGAGAGAGCAGAGGGACTCACTCTTGAGGTGGTGGAACATATGATCATTGATGAAGCGAGATGTCTCAGGGCCACCGTGGCCGTCGTAGACGCCAACAAAGGTGCCATAGGGACCAGAGTCGTGAGAGCTAAGAGAGCCAGACTCGAGCTGGCTCTGGTCCTCGAGCAAGCTGTTGGCTTGAACGACGGCCATGGAGAAGTCGCCAAAGACGTGCTGACCGGAGTCTCTATACCAGAGCAAACCCTCTTGGCGGCCGCCAGAGTCTGAGGGTGAACGTGCCTGCTGATCTGACCGTGGCCAGAGACAGGCATTCAGAAAATTCATCAACCCAGATAGCATCCCTCATCTCATCCGAATCTCCCACCACAACATAGAAATTGTCAGTTTTTTTAGATACAGATCACACAGCTTTCTGAAATCTCCAATGCCAAAAGCTTAAACAAGACTTGAAGAACACTGCAGTGTAGTCAAAGACAAAAAGTGACAAGTCTCAATTGCTACTGTCCAAGTAATGAATGGCAATATTAGAATAGAGGATTGATTAGTGAGTCTAGTGATTGAACAATCTAAGAAATTCGATGCAACATTGGAAAGTTATCATCTTTTAAAGTATAGAAACTATCTATCGGAAGAGAGCAAAATTAGTGATGTCAGGCAAGCAAGAAACAGTACACAAAAAGGTCCAACGATCCCGAAAGAAAACTCAAAAGGATTATTATTATTATTATTATGCAGTAGATTCGTATTCGCTACCAAAGAACCAAAAAAAAAAAAAAAAAGGAAACTTTACCTGGCAAGATGGATGGGGAATCTACTCTCTAGTTGAGCAAGAGAATGAATGAAGAGAAAGAATCAAGATTCAAGATGTGGGCGTGGAATTTCTGAGTTTGTAGATCTACTACGGATGGATCAACCAACCAGAAGAAATTATATAAAACACCGATGATTTTTATTATTATTAAAATAAAGAAAAATAAGCGAGCGGATGAGGAAGAAGAAGAAGACGACCGATTGACAAAAGAAAAAGTTTTTTTTGTTTTGGAGAAGAAGAAATGAAAAGAAAATAAAAGATTGAAAAAATTGTTCTGCCCTCACAACTTATGATCTTTCTTTCTATGACTGGAAACAGTGAACAATGAAGTAAAAGAGAGAGATAATAGAGGTCAAGTCGCCGAACGAGACATCTTCCTTTTTTTTTTTTTTTTTTTTTATTTCACAAATCCTCCTTTGAATTTTTGTGTAAAAAAAAAGAAAGAGAGTTGGAGTTGGAGTTGTTTTCCTTTTTCTTTTAATCTCAAAGAGTGAAGAGTGATTCTTACCAGACAAGACCCATAAAAGACCAACGATGGCGAGGTCGGAGCCAGCACATCAAACTATCAAAGGTCCCAGCTTTTTGGGCTCCACTTCCCTCTCGTCCTTTTTTGCCTCATTCTACGGACAAACCAAACAAACTGTGAGAAAGAATAAGAGATCATTTTTTTAGGTAAGAAAAGAAAAGAGTTGATGTTATTATTGACATCATAATAATAATTCAAGTCTCCTCTTGATTTTAACTCTTTTAGTTTAGACATTTTCTCGAATTGGGGGTCAAATGGATGAATTTTCTTCTACGTTTCTTCTATTAAGACAAATCAAAGAAGAGAACAATTATACGGTTTAGATTGGGGAAAAATGTTGTTTAATAGCCGAACTTTAAAAAAATGGCCGTTTAATACGTGAACTTGTTATATGGCCAATTTAAACATGAAATAAATGTTGACCGGTCAATTTAAACATGAAATATTCGTTGACCAGGCCAAAAACCACACGCCGTTAGCTGTCGTTAACAGATCTGATAACAGTCGTTAACGATTCCGTTATTACCTAAAACGACGTCGTTTTGGGCTAAATCGCCGCCGCTAAATCCTCTACATCTTCCAGCTACTTACCGGAGCATCAACCGTCGAAGCTGCAAACTCCTCTCCTTCCGATGTTCATCCTCCTCCTTCTCCGAGAAGCACCACAACGCGAATCCGCGATATCAAATGACCTAGTAGAGCTTCCTCTCTTCCCACTAACTCTCGTTCTCTTCCCCGGCGCAACAATTCCGCTTCAGATCTTCGAGTTCCGTTACCGAGTCATGATGCAGACGCTTGTCCAATCCGATCTCAGATTCGGCGTTGTCTACTCCGACGCCGTTTCAGGTTCCGCAGCTGGAATCGGTTGCGTCGGAGAAATCGTGAAGCACGAGCGTCTCGTCGATGATCGATTCTTCTTAATCTGTAAAGGTCAGGAACGATTTCGCGTCACAGATCTCGTCCGTACGAAACCTTACCTCGTCGCGAAGGTGACGTGGCTTGAAGATCGACCGTCCGGGGAAGAGAATCTGGACGAATTGGCGAACGAGGTTGAGGTTTTGATGATAGAAGTGATTCGATTGTCGAATAGATTGAATGGGAAACCAGATAAGGAATCTCAGGATCTGAGGAAGAATCAGTTTCCGACTCCGTTCTCGTTTTTCGTCGGAAGCACGTTTGAAGGAGCTCCAATGGAGCAGCAAGCGTTGCTGGAGCTTGAAGACACGACGGCGATTAAGCCCAAAACGACGTCGTTTTAGGTAATAACGGAATCGTTAACGGCTGTTATCGGATCTGTTAACGACAGATAACAGCGTGTGGTTTTTGGCCTGGTCAACTAATACTTCATGTTTAAATTGGCCGGTCAACGTTTACTTCATGTTTAAATTGGCCATATAACAAGTTCACGTATTAAACGGCCATTTTTGAAAGTTCGGCTATTAAACGACATTTTTCCCGTTTAGATTGCCGGTAAATTAACGATTATTTGGCCGCGGGCTTTGCCTACCTCCATTTACATTTGGTGATATGGTGAATGCTGGTGATACATGAATGGCTAATAAAACTTAACAAAAAAATACATGTAGAGTCTAGAAATAATATATATGTGGTGGATTCATGAATCTTTCAAAATAAATTCCCCACACAATTTCTATCAAACGTTTAATGCCCATAAAAGTGGTGGTCCAAGACCCTGAGATTAAAAAAAATATATGAAAAATAGAGAAGAGGCTTGGGCTTGAAGAATGAAAAATTGAATATATTTATAAAAAAAAAAAAATTGGACCCGAATCGAAAGTGACTGGGATAAAGTGAGATATGTCACTTTACCTAACATTATTTAATTTTATATTAATGTATGTACCACTAAATTTGGCCCTTTCTCCCCATCGACTCTTTGTAGTTATTTATACTTTTGTAGTACCAATAATAGAAGAAGCAACTATTAAATTTTGGGCGAATGAAATATATATACCTAGAAGATGAAAAAATTAAGAATCTATACATAAAGATATGTTATTTAGGTAAATATGAAAGAGAAATGAAATATAAACCAAAAATATCCTTTCTTTTTGAATTAATTACAAAAATGCCATTAATTAAAAATAATTATAATATGCGGACGATAAATATATAATTATTTGTTTAACGTGCTAAAAAATATGATATCCCGATAAGTGTAAAAATTAATTGTTAGAAAAATGTTTATCGATTTAAAATTGTGAATCAGTATTTTTTATTTATGTATATATCAGCACAATAAAAAAGAATTAGACTTTTTCTTACATAATTAACATGATAACAATTATAACAACATGTTATATAGAATAATAACATGCTAACATATTAAATATCGGAATAATATTAGTATAAACACGGTAAGATACACGATATATGGATAATATTTATTTTAACGTGTAATTTATATATAATATTCACCAAAAATAATCAATAACGAGGTTAACGTGATAACGATGAAAATAACTAGCAACGAAAAATAACAAGTTTTGTTTTAGATCTACTCACCGACGAGATATACGGAGAAAACGGCGGTGCTTATAAAACTCTTAAACCATCTCACCTTCACCGACGACATCACCATAAAATCATTTAGCTTGTCGCACCTCTCCGACGCCATCTCAATCCATGATTTCATTCACATCACCTTCTTTTTTCCAAACTCACCATCATCACTATCGTCGTAAATACTAAATACCATTTCTACTATCGTTAAGAACCCAAAATTTAAATAAGAATGAGCACCACTTACAATTATGAGAGAAAATTGAACCACTTTTCTTCTCCTTCTTTTCGAATACTTTTCTCCAAATCATGAAACAAAACAATTGAAGAATCATAGCGTCAGAGTAGTGTTCTAGCGGTGGCACCACTGTAAAACTCTTCGCCGATATCATAGCCACCATCACTACAATTACATTCACTGACGAAAACTAAAAAAATTGCTTGTCACGACTCGACGAACCGGAATGAACACGGCGGCATTACGATGATGTTGCCGATGAGTGGATGTGCTATCTCGTGTAGATCGTCGTGATTAGAGAGCATCGACGAATCGTCACCGCCGCATCTCTATTTGCTCGATTTAATTTTCTGCAGGATTTCAATTTTTAGTTTAATATAAGTTAGGGGCATAATTGTCATAAAATTAAAACAGTAGAAGACAACAATGTTTTTTTTCTGTCAGTTAATTATCAATTCTTCTGAGTATAGATTTTACAATTTCCCTTAAATTTTCAGCTCAAAAATGAAAACAAAACTATTACCACAAATTAAGTGAGAAACTAAAAGCTTGTTTCTAAAACATGGATACGTCCACGATAATTATCACAAACTGTCAATATTCTAGATAATCTAACTTTCCGGGACCCAATTGATTGATATATGCGATTTTCTTTTCCTCCTTTTTTCCTCAACAAATGTATATACTTTCCATTGGTAACTCGCCGAGTGTCAATATATGTGAACTTACTTACATAACCAGAACTTGATTTATAAAGATCCAAAAGTAACAATAATAATAATAAGGGAGAATTAAAAATAGAGAAAAGGGTGGTGTGGGACTGTGGAGAAGGTCCCTACTTACAGAACATAGCTTCCATCAATCACACAAAAATCCAACCACTCTGAACCTTTCACTTCAGGATCAACTTCATTATCCAATCATCTCCCAATACCTTCACTTATATATGTACATTTCTATAAACATTCACATTTAGTTTACACAAATATATAACTTTTTAAAAAGATAGTAAATCGTGCAACTACTATACTATTGTAAACTTTAACAAATATATCAAGTTCTTTTTTTTGTTTTTTAATAAAAATTTGTAAGACTGATTTAATTTTTATAAGAAAATAGATGAATTTAAAATATATTTATAGTAAGTTATTTTTTCGCTAATATTTATGTAAACTTATGTATGGATAATTTATTATAATTAAAACACACATAAGAATGTTAAAAAAATTGATATATGTTGGACTAAATTTTAGTTATTATGTATGCGCCAATCATGATTCAACACATGGATCCCAAACCAATAACATCACGCATCGATTTTTTAAAATCACCAAAACGCAAAAAAAAAAAAAAACATCTCCCGAAACATTACAATGCATATAACATATTAAAAAAAAAAAAAAAAAAACATATCTGATAGCGTGTTTGTGAGAAGGCTAATCGCACTGAACCTATTTCACATATATATGACTCATGCGCGAAAGACCGACAAAGGGGATCGTATATTCCTAATTATGCTTTGAAAACCCAGTATCCAAATTCCAAACATGGTTACAATAACATCCAATGAATATCACTCAAAATGAATTGTTTTTTCTTATATATATATATTACGGCTCGTTGATGCTTTGTTTGGAAATTTTAATCTCACAAAATAAAAGAAGATTTGATGCTGCTCAAAGTGGTCTCTTTTTTTTTTGGTAGGCAGTGGTCTCTTTTATTTGCACCTCAAAAAGCCAGTATATATCCCCATTAGAAAAGACGTGACAACGTCTTTAATTGATCCTTTATGTTTTCCTCGGACCCATGCATAAGTGTATTTAAATCTTTTATAAGGTTTTTATAGTCATAAACAAACAAGTTTACTTTAAAAATAAGAATAATTAAGTAATTGGAATAGCGAGACGCGTTCCTTGAGATGCTAACACGAGCATATATATATTCTTCATCACTTTTACTTACATATCATATACGCTAACTATGTCTATGTGTGTGTAATATATATATGCTCTCAGAACTAACAAGTAAGAAGAATAAGAAGAATGTCGGAGAGTTTCAAAGTGTGCTTCTGTTGTAGCAGAAGCTTCAAGGAGAAAACGAGGGAACCACCAGTGAGCATCAAGAGACTCTTCGAAGCTTACTCAAGAAACGGCAAGATGTCTTTCGATGAGCTTCTTAGATTTGTGAGTGAAGTTCAAGGAGAGCGGCACGCAGGGTTGGACTACGTGCAGGATATCTTCCACAGCGTTAAACACCACAACATTTTTCATCACCATGGACTTGTTCATCTCAACGCCTTCTATCGGTACCTCTTCAGCGATACCAACTCTCCTCTTCCCATGTCTGGCCAGGTATGTAAGTTGGAAACTTTTTATGGCTTTTTTTCTTCACAAAATGGTTTTATAATTGGGTATATATGACGACGTTCTTGATTGGCCTGGGTTAATTAACTTAAGGTGCATCATGACATGAAGGCGCCGTTATCGCATTACTTTGTCTACACGGGACACAACTCTTACTTGACTGGGAACCAAGTGAACAGCAGAAGCAGCGTAGAACCGATCGTGCAGGCTCTCAGAAAAGGCGTAAAGGTGATCGAGCTCGACTTATGGCCTAATCCTTCAGGGAACGCTGCTGAAGTTCGTCATGGCAGGTTGGTCCCACTAACCAACTCTTCTAATCAACAAACAGACTCCAAAAAGATCGTCTCAGACTATATATGTTTTGGTTCCCTCATCAGGACACTTACATCGCATGAAGATCTGCAGAAATGTCTGAACGCCATCAAGGATAACGCGTTTTACGTGTCTGACTATCCAGTCATGATCACTCTCGAAGATCATTTGCCACCCAATCTTCAAGCGCAAGTTGCTAGGGTGAGATGGTTTTGCAGAAACAGAGTATATATTTCCTAGCTAATCTGAAAAGGAGTGATTTACAAATTTAACTGATTCTATGTTTGTAGATGTTAACTAAAACATTCAGAGGGATGCTGTTTCGTTGTGGCTCAGAGAGTTGGAAGCATTTTCCATCACCAGAAGAACTTAAGAAGAAGATTCTCATCTCTACGAAGCCTCCAAAGGAGTATCTTGAGAGCAAAACTGTACAGACAACAAGAACTCCAATGGTTAAAGAGACTTCGTGGAGCAGAGTAGCGAGTGTAAGAATAAGTGATTTAACGCCTCCTAGTGGGAACGATTTTGCAAACATTCATAAATTCAATCTGCTGTAACAGAGTACTAATATGGCACGGGGAGGAGAAAACAAGATTCTTGAAGAAAAAGGAGAATTGGAGAGTGAAGCTGTAGGAGGATATAGAGACTTGATCGCAATCCACGCTGCAAACTGCAAAGATCCTTTGAAGGATTGCTTGAGTGATGATCCAGAGAAGCCTCGAAGGGTTAGCATGGACGAGCAGTGGCTAGAGACAATGGTTAGGACCAGAGGAACGGATCTTGTCAGGTAAAATATAGAGTGAGATGAGTCCAAATGTTGAACCTTTTTGACTTAAGAGTTGGATTTAAAAAAAAAAGAAAAACAGGTTTACACAGAGGAATCTGGTGAGGATATATCCAAAGGGTACAAGAGTGGACTCGTCAAACTACGATCCCCATGTTGGTTGGACACACGGTGCTCAAATGGTTGCTTTTAACATGCAAGTAAGTGGTAGTGGCTCATCATCGTTTAAGTAAGTAAAGTCGATATATAAAAAAATGGTTGAAAAATTTGTGTTGAAAAAGGGACATGGGAAGCAACTATGGATAATGCAAGGAATGTTCAGGGCGAATGGTGGATGTGGGTACGTTAAAAAGCCTCGCATCTTGCTAGACGAGCACACACTCTTCGACCCTTGCAAAAGGCTTCCCATCAAGACCACTCTCAAGGTGAAGGTTTACACAGGGGAAGGATGGGATTTGGATTTCCATCAGACACACTTTGATCAATACTCTCCTCCAGATTTCTTCGTAAAGGTAAACAACTAGGTACTAGTAGTTTTAAACTAGATATCTTCGTAATAATGTGTGTGTGTGTGTTGCATTTGCATCAGATTGGAATAGCAGGAGTTCCGAGAGACACGGTCTCATACAGAACGGAAACAGCTGTCGATCAGTGGTTTCCTATATGGAGCAACGACGAGTTCCTGTTTCAGCTGTGTGTTCCAGAACTGGCGCTTCTGTGGTTCAAGGTCCAAGACTACGACAATGACACCCAGAATGATTTCGCAGGACAGACATGTCTTCCTCTGCCGGAACTGAAGTCCGGAGTCAGAGCCGTCCGGCTTCACGATCGAGCAGGCAAGGCTTACAAAAACACGAGGCTTCTCGTCAGCTTCGCCTTGGATCCTCCTTATACGTTTCGTTGAAACTCGTTTTCTTTCCAAATAAGCCACAGTGTTTGTATCTCTGTTTGCAAGTTTCTAAATTTAGAATGTAAAATTATTTACTCCCTAGCTAGAACAGGATAAAGTGTGACAATATATAAATAACTGCTTAAAAGATACTATAAAAGATTCGATATTTGATTACTGTTGCCGCTTGCCTTAGACAGGGTGCCGTGTCTGACTTGCCATTTTCCACCGCATTTTTTGGTTTACTTAAAAATAAATATATAAGTGAGGAAGAAAAAACAGAGCTTTCTTTCTAAGATCATCAACGCACCATGGAAGAAGAAGGCACTCCAGGCATCATCATCGTCGGCGCCGGAATCTCCGGGCTTTCCACCGCTGTTGGACTACACAGGTGTGTGTGTATGTACGCCTTTTGAGTTGTTATGAAGCAGAGTAAGTTAACAAAAGTGGTGTGTGTGTCTGTGGCACAGGCTTGGGATCAAAAGCATGGTGCTGGAATCTTCAGAGAAACTGAGAGCGACAGGGTTTGCTCTTACGACTTATTTCAATGCTTGGAAGGCCATGGAAGCTCTCGACGTTGCTCAACATATTCGCACTCTCCATGATCGCCTTCAAGGGTATCAAACTAACACTATTATTACTATTCATAATCAGCTCTGTATACTAGAGAACTCATCATCTTTGATCTTGATGCAGATGGGTGGTTGGACCAATTTCTGCAGGAAATCCTTCTAAAGAGATGCTGTTTCCAGAATCCGAGTATGTTTCTTCTTCTCTGCACAAAGCATATAAAAGAAAACTTTAGTTATCTTGTTGAATGGTTTTGTCAGAGAATATGAGTCTCGATGCATACATAGGAAACTGTTGTTAGAGGCTCTAGCAGGTGAGTTACCTGAAGAGACCATAAGGTATTCGTCTAAAGTTGTTCATATCGATCTGTCTGGACGCTACAAGATGGTTCATCTCTCCGACGGGACCATTCTCAAAACCAAGGTAGTAACTACTTGTTTTCTGTAAACCATGTGAGGCCTGGTCTTGCTACGGAATTGTAGGGTTTCTAAACGACATTCAGGTTTTGGTAGGGTGCGATGGAGTGTACTCAGTAGTTGGTAAGTGGCTAGGCTTCAAAAATCTGGCTACAACTGCCCGGTTAGCAATCCGAGGGCTCACACATTTCCCGGAAGGCCACGGATTTGGGAAAAAGTTCTTCCAGTTTTATGGAGACGGTGTTCGTTCGGGTTTTGTCACCTGTGACCACAACACGGTCTACTGGTTCCTAACCCACACCTCCACTGATATAGGTAAATATATGCAACTTTACCTGATATGATATCTATCTACAAGCAGCTTCTTGTTCATAATCAAACTACTGTTTTTGACTCTTCTCCTTGCGCTTGTTAGATGAGGAGACAAATCCGGCAATCCTCAAAGAGTTTGTGCTGAACAAGATCAAAGAATTGCCTGAAAACATTAAGAATGTGGTGGAGACCACGGATCTTGATAGCATGGTGATGTCTCGACTGAAGTACCGACCTCCATGGGAACTGCTATGGTCAAACATCACAAAAGACAATGTGTGCGTTGCAGGGGATGCACTTCACCCAATGACTCCTGATATCGGACAAGGGGGTTGCTCAGCCATGGAAGATGGAGTTATCCTCGCTCGTTGTTTAGGTGAAGCGATAAAAGCAAAGAATCTGAAAGGTGGAACAGAAGAAGAGAGTTATAAGAGGATTGGAGAAGGGTTAAAGAAGTATGCAGGAGAAAGGAAATGGAGAAGCATTGATCTTATAACAACAGCATATACAGTAGGATTCATACAGCAGAGCAGAGGGAAGTGGATGAACATGTTGAGAGACAGGTTCTTGTCGTCTTACCTATCACGGTTGCGGCTGAAAAAGTCCCATTTCGATTGCGGAAGCCTTACGAGGAAGCAAGGATAAGTCAAAAGTTTGGGATTCTTCTTGTCATCAACAACTGCAGACCAGTTATATCACCTTTGCTTCAAGACTGATTATCTATCTTTTTTATGTTATGTCATATAATAAACTCTGAATAGAAAGGATTAATAATGCCACAGGGCAAGGCTTACAAAAACACGAGGCTTCTCGTCTTGAATCCTCCTTATACGTTTCGTTGAATCTCGTTTCCTTTCCAAAATAAGCAGTGTATCTGTTTCTCCACGATTATAGATTTAGAACGTAAAATTGTTTCATCCCTAGCTAGAACATAATAGATCAAGTGTGACACTATAAAGAACAATAATTTATAGCCGCCTGCCTAGAACAAGGATGCCTTGTTTGACTTGCCATCTTCCACCCCATTTTTTTTTTTTTTTTGTTTATTTATAAAAATAAATACAATTGCGGAAGAAAAACAGAACTATCTTTCAAAGATCATCAACGCACCATGGAAGAAGAAGGCACCCCAGATATCATCATCGTTGGCGCCGGTATCTCCGGGCTTTCCACCGCTGTTGGACTACACAGGTGTGTGTGTGTGTGTACACCTTTTGAGTTGTTATGAAGCGGAGCAAGTTAACAAAAGTGGCGTGTCTGTTTCATAGGCTTGGGATCAGAAGCATGGTGCTGGAATCTTCGGAGACACTGAGAGCGACAGGATTTGCATTTACCACTTGGTACAATGCTTGGAAGGCCATGGAAGCTCTCGGCGTTTCTCAGCATATTCGCAGTCTCCATGATCGTCTTCAAGGGTAGCAAACTAACACTATTATTAGTATTCAAATATAATCAGCTCAGTAGAAAAGGAAACTCATCTTTGATCTTGCTGCAGATGGGTGGTTGGACCAATTTCTGCAGGAAATCCTCCCAAAGAGATGCTGTTTCCAGAATCCGAGTATGTTTCTTCTTCTCTGCACAACAAAATCTATGAATGTTAAACAATAAATAGGAAATTTTAGTCATCTTGTTGAGTGGTTTTGTCAGAGAATACGAGTCTCGATGCGTACAGAGGAAGCTGTTGTTAGAGGCTCTAGCAGGTGAGTTACCTGAAGAGTCTATAAGATTTTCGTCCAAGGTTGTTCATATCGAATTGTCTGGACGCTACAAGATGGTTCATCTATCTGACGGGACCATTCTCAAAACCAAGGTAATAACTACTTGTCCTCTGTAAACCATGTGAGGCCCGGTCTTGCTAGGGAATTGTAAGGTTTCTAAACGACATGCAGGTTTTGGTAGGGTGCGATGGAGTGTACTCGGTGGTTGGTAAGTGGCTAGGCTTCAAAAATCTGGCTACAACTGCCCGGTTAGCAATCCGAGGGCTCACACATTTCCCGGAAGGCCATGGATTTGGGAAAAGGTTCTTCCAGTTTTGTGGAGATGGTGTTCGTTCCGGTTTTATCCCCTGTGACCACAAAAATGTCTACTGGTTCTTAACCCACACCTCAACTGATATAGGTAAATATATGCAACTTTACCTGATATGATATCTATCTACAAGCAGCTTCTTGTTCATATCATACTACTGTCTTTGACTCTTCTCCTTGCGCTTGTTAGATGAGGAGACAAATCCGGAAATCCTCAAAGAGTTTGTGCTGAACAAGATCAAGGACTTGCCTGAAAACATTAAGAATGTGGTGGAGACCACGGATCTTGATAGCATGGTGATGTCTCGACTGAAGTACCGGCCTCCATGGGAACTGCTATGGTCAAACATCACAAAAGACAATGTGTGCGTTGCAGGGGATGCACTTCACCCAATGACTCCTGATATCGGACAAGGGGGTTGCTCAGCCATGGAGGATGGAGTTATCCTCGCTCGTTGTCTAGGTGAAGCGATAAAAGCAAAGAATCAGAAAGGTGAAACAGAAGAAGAGAGTTATAAGAGGATAGAAGGAGGGTTGAAGAAGTATGCAGGAGAAAGGAAATGGAGAAGCATTGATCTGATAACAACGGCATATACAGTAGGATTCATACAGCAGAGCAGAGGGAAGTGGATGAACATGCTGAGAGACAGGTTCTTGTCGTCTTACCTATCTCGGACGTTGCTGAAAAAGTCTCATTTCGATTGCGGAAGCCTTGTCCCGTGATTCTCAATGAGCAAGCAGGGATAAGTCAAAAGCTTGTGATTCTCTTCTTGTCATTATCGCTCTTTTTTTTTCCATATAATAAACGAAGTATTAATAAAGAGCCACAAGGCATGGTTGAGTAGTGAACAAGAAGCTCGTTTACTATATACGGCAATCTCAGCTCTTCAATTGAACTATAGCACAAGTTATCTTTATTACATTATGCAAACTACAAAGCCTCGTCCAAACAAATATATATATATATATATTTTTTTGGTATCAATGTTTAGTAAAGTTCAAATAAATTTGGATTCAGAAAGAAAAAGGAACCTGAAGAGGAAAGTGAGAAGAGGCAAGGTGACAAAGGTTCCCACTGGATCAAATCGCACCAGCGGCAACCGTGGTCGCCGGCGATGGCCAGTTTGATCATCTGGGCGGCTGGGCTTTTAAGGAATTTCTCCTATATTTGGACTTTTCTTTTTCTTTTTATTCCCTCTCCGGCCCATTTCGTGACAGAGTATGGGCCCATTTGACCACAGAAAGGTAGCCACTATTGACCAAGTCATGGTTTGCTTGCTGCCACTTGCTTGATAAAGAAAAACGAAAACAAATAGTTATGATTTAGATCTGACCAATCTTGCTATATCATAAGGTATTTGTTTGTTTGTAATAATTTATAGTCAAAAGTCAAATGAATGGTTATATCATAGACTTTTCCAATTGGCATTTTTCTATTTTATAAAAGTATCCATAATACACATACTTAAAAGGGCGAATATACAAGTCGCAGTATGACGCGTTGAAGAAACGAAAACCAAAAAGTCTTCTCCGGCAACTCCGATCATCCAGCAGCAAGGTACTCTTATGAATTCCTAACATATGTATGTATACAATTATTACCATACAACCAAGGTACTAATTTGCATGCCGTCTTATGTTCCGGTTTAAACACAGGTCATTTCTCAATCCGGTTCTCCCATCATCCTGTGCCTCTCCACCCAACATGGACTTCTTCACTTCAAGCAAAGCTAAGAAAGATGGCAAAAGATCATCAGGTAACTCCCTTTTTTGTAGCCGGAATGTTTAACTCTGGCTGGGATCGTGAAAGACTTGACTTTCTCAACTCAAATGGATCCTATTTACTATCATCCACTTAGCAAAATCCAAACAAGTTGACCAATTTTCTCTTCAGGACTCTTTGGCAAGAAAACTGTCAGCAAGAGCACTCCGGGCAGCCCTGCTCATCCCTCCGGTGCTAGATCCCCGCCACCATCGTATCTCTCCAACAAAAGAGCCGAAACAGAGTACGATTTCCCCACCTCCGATGAACAAAGACCCTACTGGAAACAGCCTGCCTCTGAACGTGTCCCCAACTCCCACCCCAGGCCTCCCGTGTATGGATACGGCACGGTACTCATCTATCCCCTGTTTCATTCCCCAAAATCAATTGTCTCTTTCAACCAAACATAGTATACGTAGATGATACTGAGTTTGCCTTTTCCTCAATTTCAGCCCGAACGTCGTCGAGACCACGGTAGAGACAGAATGGACGCGATGAGTTATGAGCCAGAGACCAATGCTCCTTCCAGCCCATTTCATCCAGCTGGAAACCGCACGGTACTTTCTTGCTTCTTCTGTTTCGAGTCTTCTTTTTGTCTCCACCGTTTGTTTCCTGATGCCGTTCTCTCTATAACTGCAGCCTGAACGTCCTAGGAGATCAACCGAGTATCGTCGAGAACACCAGGATCGAATGTATGAAGCAGATACCCGAAGCAATGCGAGCCCATTTCACCCATTCAGAAGCCCTTCTCCATCTCCATACCAAACGGTACTAATAACCTAAAGCTCTGATGACCTGATTCGTATTCAAACCCATCAATCACTAAAGGCTTCAGATGCATTGCTTTTAATGCTTGATTTCAGCCTGATCGCCGCAGAGACCACGATAGAGACCACTACGACGCAATGTACGAACCTGAGGCCAACACTTTGCTGCAGAATAACGCTCCGGGGAGCCCATTTCATCCAGCTGGAAGCCGCACTCCACCATCATACAGAACGGTAAGTCTTGCTCGTGATTCTTGAGTACTTGATGAGCCACATAGATGACATAAACTCTCTCTCCCGAATTGCAGCCTGATCGCCGTAGTAACCATGGCAAAGAGCAATATGAGGACCTGTACGACCAAGATGGTGATGTTCCACCGCGAAACAGCTCTCCACCGAGCCCATTTCATCCAGCAGCATACAAAACGGTACTCAAAAACTCGAGTCTGGCTCACTGTTAGCTTCTTTTTAGGGATAAGTAAATCAAAGTCTCTTTCTAGTGAGTCACTTAGACTGACAATAGAATTTGTTCTTCTTATGCTGCAGTCTGATCAACGTAGTAACCATGGTAAAGAGCAAATTGAGGACTTTTATGAGCCAGATGACGATGTAACACCGCGAAACAGCTCTCCACCGAGCCCATTGCATCCAGCAGCAAACCGTTCACCACCACCACCACAACAATACAGAACGGTACTCAAAAAACTCTTAAGTCTGGCCCATTGTTTCTGTTTCAGCTCTTCCTAGTGATAAAAAAATCAAGTCCTCTTGACAGTGATTCACATATACTGAGTTTTCTCTCTAATTGTGCAGCCTGACAGTCGTAGAAATCACCAGGATAATGAGGAATTCGAGGCAATGTATGAGCTAGATGGCGACATAATACAGCGGAAAAGCTCTCCACCGAGCCCATTGCATCCAGCAGCAAGCCGTTCACCACCACCACAACCATACAGAACGGTACTCAAAAACTCTTAAGTCTTGCTCATTGTTTCTGTTCCAGCTTCTGCCTAGTGATAAAACAATCAAGTCCTCTTGACAGTGAGTCACATATATTGAAATATCTCTCTAATTGTGCAGCCTGACCGTCGTAGAAGCCACCAGGATAATGAGGAATTTGAGGCAATGTATGAGCTAGGTGGCGACGTAATACCGCAGAACAGCGCTCCTCCGAGTCCAGTTCGTGGACCATACTATTCATCCAGCGACGACGATAACCACTCCACCTACCTCTATCCAGAAATCCGTAGCCCACTACGTTCCAGGCTCGTATCAGAGAACAACACGGTGTGAATCCTCTTCCAACTTTCTCTCTCGCTCTCTCTCAGTCACTATTGATTTGCAATTTGAAATTCCCTAAAAAAAAACAAAGAAATGATAATGCCTTTACACCTGCAGCCGGTTCACCACAACTACCAGATAGTTGCGGCTGAAACCTATGAGCAAGACAAGCAGTTCGAGCCGCCCGAGCTGCCTGACGAGTCACAGAGCTTCACAATGCAGGAGATTACCAAAATGAGAGGACTCAAGAACTACGAAAGCGGCAAGGAAGAGAATCAATCAATGATATCCGAGGCTTACGTATCCGTCGCGAACTATAGAGTGAGGCAGAGCGTGTCGGAAACCCTGCAGGCGATCATCGAAAAGCACGGAGACATCGCGGCCACCTCGAAGCTGCAAGCAATGGCAACTCGGTCGTATTACCTGGAATCCCTAGCCGCGGTGGTGATGGAGCTGAAGAAGACGGTCCTGAGGGATCTGACGAAAACGCGCGTGGCGGAGATGGCGGCGGTGGTGAAAGACATGGAGTCGGTGAAAATCAACGTGTCGTGGCTGAAGACCGCGGTGGCGGAACTGGCGGAGGCAGTGGAGTACTTCGGGCAGTACGACACGGCGAAGGTGGAGAAAGAGGTGTGCGAGAGAGATCTGACGGCGAAGAAGGGGGAGATGGAGGAGATGACGGCGGAGCTGGTGAAGAGGGAGAAGGAAATCAAAGAATGCAGAGAGAAGGTGACGGTGGTGGCGGGGAGGCTAGGGCAGCTGGAGATGAAAGGTTCGAAATTGAACAAGAATCTCGACCTCTTTCAATCCAAAGTCCACAAATTCCAAGGACAAGCCGTCCTTCTCCACGTTTAGGCTTCTTCTGGATCTCATTGTTCAATTATTTTCTATTGATGTGAAATGTTTATAAGTTTAAAGTTTGGGGCCATTAGTGTAATTCTTAAAAAGATCTAGAGTGGAGGAAGAAGAATGTTGAGAGTCAAGAAGCTCAGCAATGGTTTCAGAGTCAAGTCTCAATACATTGTAATAATATGCATGCGTGTCTTTCAAGATATATATATTTATATATGTATGTGCATTTTACTTACATCTCTTGTGATATCAACAAAACCTATCGTTTCTTCTTGCAAATTAATTTCAAGACCATAACCTGATTGACCTGGTGGTCAACACTTGTTGTTATACTAGTAAGTCTTCTCTCTACAAAAGAAGAAAAGCAATACTCTCTCTCTCTCTCTCTCTCTTGTATAATTTGCATTGCAAACCAACAAAACTTGCAGCCTCGACTTCAACAACTTGTTCTTTACTTCTGAAATTTCTTCATTTCGTGAATCCTAATCAATTTTGTGTCGTCTTCTCAGACCTATTCATCCATCTCTTCATTTCCTTCCCTTTTCCTCTGAAACGTTTGACTCCTTTCTTTTGTTGTAAACTTCTTTGCTTCTTCCCTGTTAGCGTAAACCCTCCCTTTTTTATAAGAATTTCTCCACTTTGTTGGTGTGGAGGATCTTACCAGAGAGAGACGCTTCTTTGTTAGTCAGGTTCTAAATTTAGATCTCCGAGTCTCTGAGAGCGAAGTGGCATGTCTGGAAAAGTACATCATGATTGTCCCAACTCAGCAAATCCCTACCATGAGTGCAATGATCAGTGTTTCAAGAGAATAAGCTCTGGAGATGTCCCCAAAAAGGAAAAGAAACGGTTTGGTAAGAAGTTTCTCATTTCTATTGCATTTCAAGATGATTCTACTTGTTATATAGATTAAACAAACTGTCCAACTTTTTCTTTTGTCTAAGGCTTTGGTAAACCAGCTTGTAGCAAGGAAACGCCTCCTACCAGTCCGGCTCGTGTTATTGCGGGAAACAGATCGCCACTTCCGAGTTATTACGGAAAGAGAATGCTTGAATCAGACGACTCTCTCTCCTTCTCTTCCTCCGATGACTCTTTCAATGCAAACTTGCCCACACCACGTTCTCTTTTACATGGGAACGAAACTGCCTCAGGAATCAATTGGCTCCCCATGTCGCCTTCTTTCGCTGTGTATTGCAAAAACGATTCTTTCGCATCAACGGTGAGCATTCATTCTCGGTCAGTCAGTGTTAGCTATAAACTTTGTTAAGTGCACATCTTTTTGGGTGTTTATTTTGGCTCTTCTTTCCCTGTGAAGATTGATCACCTTGAAGGTGAAACTCCAATTCATGATGAAATGTTATCTAAGACTCGGCTTAAGACGCCTCTAAGCCCTGATACTAGGCCAAGGACTTCAGAACACAGGACAAGAAACCAAGGACCACGGTCAAAGACTCCAGAACCTAGAGGAAGTTACCTTGAACCACCCAGGCCTAGGATCCCACAAACTCAGCCGGTACAACACAGATCCCTTGAAAGTGCTGGCCTCAAATCACCTCAGAAAGTTGAAACTCGGCCTCAGATCCCCCAAACTCAACCGACATCCTTCAACATCGGTGGTAACTATCATTATGCTGCTCAAGCATCAAAATACCATGGTAATAAAGCGGATTCGGTGTACACTAAAGACCAAGACAAATGCATTCTACTCTATCCCGAAATTCTTTTGTCCCCTCGAAAAAATCCGACATCGAGATCCATTACGGTACTGGTCTCTCTCTGCTATAGCATCTTTCATTTATCTTAATCTGTACCGAAGAAACATCAAGAGTTTGATCAACTGGGCGAATCTGAGAGCATCAACAACAATAACTTTCCATTCTTGGATGGCTCTCTGTTTATCAAGAAGTGTTGCTCAAATAATCAAAAGAAATTTTCTTTTATCTCTCTTGCAGATGCTTCACCAAAAATCACTAGACCAACAATCAAATGAGCCACCAGAGCTGCCTGACAAATGCCAGAGCTTTACTCTATCTGAGATCGAATGCATGAAAGTGTTAAAGATCTACGAAACAGGGGAGGAAATGGAGTCAATGATTCCAGAGTCGTATGTCTATGTAGGAAGGTACAAGGTCAGAGCCAGCGTCTCGGCCACTCTGCAGAAAATCCTAGACAAGCATGGTGACATAGCATCCGGTTCCAAACTTCAGTCGCTGCCCACAAAATCTTACTCGCTTGAATCGCTAGCCGCAGTGGTTCTTGAACTCCAATCGACCCCACTGAAGGAATTGAAGGAGACTCGGGTCTTGGAAATGCTATCTGTTGTTACAGACGCAGAGTCGGTTAAAATCAGAGCTGGTTGGCTCAGGGAGATCCTGAACGAGATTCTTGAAGCGGCCAACCACTATGATGGACACGAGACAACGGTGGTGGAGAAGGAAGCGGGTGAGCGGGATATGCTGTTTGAAAGAGAAGAAATGGAGAAGATACAGGAGGAGGTGAGATTGAAGGAGAAGGAGGCGAAGGACTTCCGTAAAGGAGTCATGGAAATGACAGGGCGTTTGGGAGAACTGGAGATGAAGCGAGCGCGTTTGGAGAAACGCTTGGCGTTTCTGAGCTCCAAGGTGGAAAAATTTGAGGGGGAATCTCTGTTGGAGAACGTATTTTGACCAACCTTATGCTTTTATTTTGGTTTTTCTAGCTAGCAGAGATAGGATTTTATGGTCGCAATCAAAACATGATGTGCTTAAGAACTTAGAAGACATGAAATTTCTGAAAATAGCGAATGGATTCAAAGACAAGAGTTTTATCTACATCCACCACTAAACAAGATGGATCCGTATGTACACAACATGAAACAAAAGAGTTAAACACGATTCATGGGCACATAACGTCAAGGCTTCTTATGCTGTTTCTCTATGTCATACAGGACACAAACATCTGCAGCCGTTTTCATCTGACACACGCGACCACAGAAGAAAAAATACCGATAAGAACTAGAGATGCCTAGTCTATTTGAGGGATTGAATAGTTGTGAATCAGACTTACCTGAATCACATTGATGATCTGCTTGATCGACCAACCAAAGATGCTCAAAGCCAAGAGTAAAGAGAGCGGTGAAATCTGCATCAATGATTTCACTACCACCTGAAGTTTGAAAACATTTGGAACCCTGAATATTAGAGCAGTAGGAAAAGCTAAAGAGATGAAAGGCGAAGAGAATAGAAGAGAAGCTCACGTTCATCAAGTTTTCGGTTTGGTTCTTTGCTATGAGAAGAAGGATTATATAAAGAACCTGTAGTCATTTGAGAGAACTCTGTGTTTACAACAATATCTACCAATAGAAATGCATAGAAAAAGTTAAATAGCTCAGATAACAATGATCCAATAACCTCGCAGGAAACACAGCAATAACCCATGAACATCCGGTTTCCATAGTAGAGTCTAAAGAGCCAGCTCGTGCTATCTTTCACATCCTTGTGGCTGGCCTTCCCTGATAGAAATGTAGAGTGAATCAAGTATTAAATTCCTGGTAGTCCAAGAACAATAATTCTGAGAAGTTGAATGAAGAGTTTATGTTGCAACAAAGAGTACCTGTACATTTGGAGCCAGTGACTAGCGAAATCTAGAGCGAGCAATGACAGGAAAACCAAGCTAGGCCTGTTTATAAGTGTGAAAGTCCAAGACTAAATAAAAAATGAGACAAGTCCATCAAGGGAGATGTCAGTACAAAGAAGTTGAGACCTGTATATCTGGGAGAGAATCACGAGAAGACAGGCAGTGCTGACTCTGTAACAATGAGCAGACCCCAAATTATGAAAAAAGTGTTAAAAAGAAAAAGCAGGTGGACTCTCTGGTGTATATGTAGCGGAAGAAGAAGAAAAGAGTTGTAGAACAACAATAAACTGTGGTTGAAGTTTCACAATCTTGATCAAAGTAGAGGAACAATAATGAGTTGGTTGAGCTAAAAAAGAAGAGAACCTTGGTTGAATTTACGAGCGCACCATCCATCGACAGCATCACAACAAAAACTGGAAAACCACATTGGTTAAAGACAGACTAGCATAAGATGAAGAAAGGAGAAGAAGATGAGGTAGGGAATGAAGCCACCTGAAAAAGTACAAGAGCGAGAAGAGTGTCTTGTTGGAGAAGCACACAGAGAAGGCAATGCAGTTCAAGAGAACTATTATGTACCCTGCCATTTTGCATGTAATAACAACACTAATCTCATATGGTTTAAAATTAAAACACACACACACACACAAGAAAGGAAAGGAAGTAGCAAAAAACCGACCAACGATATTGGGAATGTAGAGGTAGACTGAGAGCGTCGCCATTAGAGAGAGGGAGAGAGAGAGAGACAGAGAGTTCACTTTGGCAATATGTTCCCCAAGAAAACAAAGATGAAAGATGGCACCTACACCTTCACGAGATCCGCTGCCGAGACTTGTTGTTGGAAGCTCACAAAGAATTTTCGGATATTTGAAGTTCGAATCTCATGGGTCCAGCCAGATTCAGATTAGTACTTGCAAGTCTTGCATATCCAAATTTAAATGATTTTTTTAAAAAGTCGTTTGTAGATTATTGCCAAGTAGGCCTTAGAAAGATCCATTAGAAAGCCTAGCCCAAGGAGTAAGCTTAATAAACAAAGACTGGTCAAGGTCGGTACGTACGTCGGTGTGACTTTGCGAGCCATCATCATCGAGATTATCCCAAAACAATAACTCCTCTGTTTCCCATTCCACATATATTTATAATTTAATTATTGAAAAAAAAAAAAAAAAAAAAGTTAATGCAGCAGAAAATCTAACGCACGACTCTTGTCCCAAGATCAGTCTCAGTGACAGTCATCATCAATACGTAATTTCATTGTAAGAATTTTTAATTATTTTTTTTTTATCTTACAAATTACAACTTCTTTTTCTTTTTTCCTTCATGGAATCTGTTTTAAGCCAATCCGTAATAAGAAAAAAAAAACAAAGAAATAGGGAAACCGTTAGCAAGAAGAGAAGAATCGAGAGGAAACTGCTGGGGCCAGAAGAGAAAGGTTACCCATCATCATTCATTTTAATTAGATATTTATTTAATGTCTTATAAATTTTTATACTGTATATATATTCTTCCAATTCATCATTTACTTCTTTACACCTCCACTTTCCTTTTTGCCCTCTTATTTTCAGATTTAACTGAGTTCTCTCTCTACTCTACTCTACTCTCTCCTCCTCCTAAAGAAAGTTTTTAACTCTCCTGGGTTCTTCAGGTTTTTCTTTTTTTTTTTTGGGAATAAAAAGAAGAAGAAATGGGTGTTCTTGATCATGTCTCTGAAATGTTTGACTGCTCTCATAGTCACAAAATGAAAAAGCGCAAACAGTTGCAGGTACACTTTCTTCTTTCTTTTGTTATCTTAGCAGATTCTCAGATGATATTTTAGATCTTGATTTTCAAAAACACAAGATTAGTTCAAATCTAGATTGGTCTAGTAGAAACTATATTCGATGACTACAAGGAAAGTTTGAGTGTTGTTACATAGTAGATCTCGTATATTAGTTCCATAAATAGAGAGGCTGTTCATGCTTTTGACTTGTTTTGTGTGCTTTCTTACCAGAGATCCTTTTTTTTTTTTTGTTTTTCTCCGTTTTCTCTTCCACTTTTGGTATCTGAAGTATATTCAACTGTTACATGATTTAAGTGGGATTTTATTTGATGCGGTTTTTGTTTTGAGTTAATAATGGTCCTAACGCCGACCAAATAGATTCTTTTAATCTGAAAAACAAGTTGATACAGCCATCTGTTAGATTTTACACCGGGATTTGTATTCTCTTCGCTGTCAGAATTTACAAATACTATACAAAATCATTAATTCCCGGGGAAACCACGTGAACTCACTAATGATGACTAAAGTCTCACGTCACATTTATTGTTCTTCTTAAAGTAGATATTTTTAAAGTAGGTTAATTTTTGTCGTTTTCTGTCGACTGGTTTGATGAGGATAGACGGTGGAGATCAAAGTGAAAATGGACTGCGAAGGTTGCGAGCGGAAAGTGCGGCGTTCTGTGGAAGGCATGAAGGGTGTGTCTTCTGTGACGTTGGAGCCCAAAGCCTCAAAAGTCACTGTGGTCGGCTACGTCGATCCCAACAAGGTGCTGGCTCGAATGGCTCACAGGACCGGCAAGAAAGTCGAGCTCTGGCCATATGTGCCCTACGACGTGGTCGCTCATCCTTACGCTGCCGGTGTCTACGACAAGAAGGCACCCTCCGGTTATGTCCGAAGAGCCGACGACCCTGGAGTGTCGCAGCTGGCTCGTGCTAGCTCCACTGAGGTCCGCTACACTACTGCATTTAGCGACGAGAACCCGGCGGCTTGTGTGGTCATGTGATGACTGTTTCACATTTGATATGGATTAATATTGGCGTCTTGTTTTGTATATTAATACCATAATGGTAGGTTTCTTGTTTTGCTTTTTAGTGCCTTGTTCTCTGTATTCGTCACACTCTTTATGATTGTAATATTTTGTTTTTCCTTTTCTTCCAAAGACTAATAATGTTGATCATGAATTATCTCTATCCAAATTAGTTTCATCTATGGTTTGCAATTGTGAACAAGGCTTCAAATGCGGATCAAGTTGTAGTTAAGAGAACCACTAAACTAAAATAGAGAGAAAAGTTGAGACAAAGATTCCGAGCTTCCTTCTTTGACCTTGGAAATCCATAAAACAGGGGAACAATATAATACAAGTGGCAATATTCACGAGTGAAAGTATTGATCGATGAGAAATCAAGTAGAGTTAGAATGAAGTCAAGAACACGATACTTGATAGCGATTCTACTTGTAGTTTCGCTCTGTTCCAAGGCAAGCCATGGCCATGGGGGAGGAGAAGTTGATGATGACAATGATGAGAAAAAGAAGAAAGGAGTAACATACGACGGAACTTCGTTGATCATAAATGGAAAAAGAGAGCTTCTTTTCTCTGTTTCTGTTCATTACCCTCGAAGCACACCTGACGTAAGCAGATTTACTCTGTTTTATTACCCAATCAAAAAAAGATGATTTCACTTGATGGATCTGGTTTTGTTGCAGATGTGGCCCAGTATCATTGACAAAGCTAGAATTGGGGGACTTAACACCATCCAAACTTATGTTTTCTGGAATGTGCATGAGCCTGAACATCGCAAGGTATCAACTTTTAGGTTCTCTTAAACTAATTCCTTTTTTTTTCCTGCTGCCTTAAATATATGGTATATCTATTTATTGGGGGGCTCAGTATGATTTCAAGGGGAGATTTGACTTGGTGACATTCATCAAACTAATCCAGGAGAAAGGTCTCTATGTCACTCTCAGACTCGGACCCTTTATCCAAGCCGAATGGAACCACGGGTACGAAATATTCAAACCAAAAGAATTCATGTATAGATGCTAACTAAATTCATATTTCAGAGGGTTGCCTTACTGGCTACGCGAGGTCCCAGAGGTTTACTTTCGTACAGATAATGAACCTTTCAAGGAACACACAGAGAGATATGTGAGGAAAATACTTGGAATGATGAAAGAAGAGAAGCTTCTAGCTTCACAAAGGAGGTCCCATCATCTTGGGACAGGTACATATACTACACATTCATCACCCATCTTGTGAAAGCAGAAACATTGAAATCTCTAAGCATACACAAATAAATGGCAGATAGAGAATGAGTGCAACGCGGTTCAGCTAGCCTACAAGGAGAATGGTGAGAGATATATAAAATGGGCAGCGAATTTGGTGGAGTCAATGAAACTGGGAATCCCCTGGGTAATGTGCAAACAAAACAATGCTTCTGACAATCTTATTAATGCTTGTAATGGAAGGCATTGCGGAGATACTTTCCCGGGACCAAACAGACACGATCGATAAGCCGTCCTTATGGACCGAGAACTGGACTACTCAGTATGCTCCACACATCAAACTCTCATCATCACAAACTACAATCTTACCTTGGTTTCTTTTATTCTTAGGTTTCGAGTTTTTGGGGATCCTCCAACTCATAGAACAGTCAGAAGATATTGCATTCTCGGTCGCTAGATACTTCTCTAAGAACGGATCTCATGTCAACTACTACATGGTAGGGTTAAACCATGCTTATATGTATCATGTTCACATGTTTTGAGCTCTGTTTGTGTACAGTACCATGGTGGAACAAACTTCGGACGCACGTCTGCTCATTTCGTTACCACTCGTTACTATGACGATGCGCCACTTGACGAATACGGTAGATCCAGACCCCAAAAGTTAAACCATTCCCGCTTTGGATCGTAATCACAAGTTTTTGGTTAGTTTTTAGGTATGGAGAAAGCACCAAAATACGGTCACCTGAAACGTGTGCACAGAGCACTTAGATTGTGTAAGAAGGCACTTTTTTGGGGTCACCCCAGAAACTTGGTCCCGACACCGAGGTTCCATAAACCAAATAATACCTTATCCGGTTTTGGAAAACCGGAGCTTAACTCGGAGAGCCAACTCAAACGGAGTAGGTTTTTAGAAATATGACTTGCAGGACAAGAAACTGATTTGAGACTAAACTCATCTATAGATGGTGGACAGGTACCATATACCAAGATCTTTCATGAAGGAGGAGAAGAAGAAGAACATGTTGGTGATTCTCGAGGAAGAACCAGGGGTGAAGTTAGAGGCTATTGACTTCGTGTTGGTGAATAGAGACACAATCTGTAGTTATGTCGGGGAGGATTACCCAGTATCGGTGAAATCGTGGAAGAGAGAACGGCCAAAGATAGCTTCGAGAAGCAAAGATATGAGGCTAAAGGCAGTGATGAAGTGTCCACCGGAGAAACAGATGGTGGCAGTAGAATTTGCCAGCTTCGGAGATCCGACAGGAACTTGTGGGAACTTCACAATGGGGAAGTGCTCTGCATCTAAGTCAAAGGAGGTGGTGGAGAAGGTAATTTGTGATGATTGAAGAATCTTAGTTATAATGAGTTATTTGTATATATAGTTGATAGATTTTGTGTTAATTTACGGAACAGGACAGGACTCCTGTTACAGGAGTGTTTGGGGGAGAATCATTGTTCGATAGTAGTAGCGAGAGAGACTTTTGGGGACAAAGGGTGTCCGGAGATAGTGAAGACATTGGCAGTGCAGATCAAGTGTGAGAAGAAAGAAGGAGAACTAGATGAGAAGAAGAAGAAAGAAGATAATGACGAGGAGGAAGAGGAAGATGATGACGAAGACAGATGACGACGAAGACGACAAAGAGAGCAAAGATGCAAAGGATAAGGAGAAGAAAAATCAAGATATGTAATATTTGAGTCTTAATCAATCTTTTTTTATTAGAAAGAATTATTTAGTAATTTATAGCATGTGGTTTTTGTTATGTTTTGTTCAATGAATTAATTATATATACATAGCTTGTGGAAAGAATGCTTTTACCCATTATAGTTTGATTTCTTTGGTCTCTATATTAAGCTCAAGGATCGTGAGTTAGGGTTTCGTTTGATCTCGTAAGCAAATCCACGAATCGAAGATGGTGTTCCTCTCGATTCCAAACGTGAAGACCATGTCGATCAATGTGAACCCTAGTGCAACCACCATCTCCGCCTTCGAACAATTGGTCCATCAACGCACTCATCTTCCTCAACCTCTCCTTCGTTACTCGCTCTGTCTCCGCAACCCTAGTCTTGATTCCTCCGATCCTGCCCTGTTATCGGATCTAGGTTTTGGCCCTTTGTCTACGGTACTTGTTCATGTCCCTCTAATCGGTGGAGCGGCTCCGCCTCAGCCCCTCTTCAATTCAAACTATGTCGCTGGTTTGGGTCGTGGGGCTACAGGGTTTACTACCCGCTCCGATATTGGTCCTGCTCGTGCTGATGGCGATGACGTGAATCACAAGTTTGATGACTTTGAAGGGAATGATGCGGGATTGTTCGCTAATGCCGAGTGTGATGACGAAGACAAAGAGGCTGACGCCATTGATAGGAGGAGGAAAGACAGAAGAGACATCGAGAATTACAGAGCCTCCAACCCTAAAGTTTCTGAGCAGTTTGTGGATCTGAAGAGAAAGTTGCATACTTTGTCTGAGGATGAATGGGATAGTATTCCAGAGATTGGGAATTACTCGCATCGGAGCAAGAAGAAGAGGTTTGAGAGCTTTGTGCCTGTTCCTGACACGCTTTTGCAGGAAAAAGGGATCGTCTCGGCCTTAGGCCCAAATAGCAGAGCCGCTGGTGGATCGGAGACGCCATGGATAGACTTGACTTCAGTCGGTGAGGGAAGAGGTTTTCTGTTGTCTCTGAAGCTTGAGAGGTTATCAGATTCTCTTTCAGGGCAAACTGTTGTGGATCCTAAAGGCTACTTAACTGACCTTAAGAATAAGGAACTCACCAACGATGCAGACATTTTTCATATTAATAGAGCTAGACCCTTATTAAAGAGTATTACACAGTCGAATCCCAAGAATCCCAATGGCTGGATTGCTGCTGCGAGACTCGAGGAGAGGGCTGGTAAAATAAAAGCCGCTAGAACTCAGATTCAGAAGGGATGCAATGAGTGCCCAAAACATGAGGATGTTTGGGTTGAGGCTTGTATGCTGGCCACACCGGAGGATGCCAAGGCGGTGATTGCAATGGGAGTTAAGCAAATACCCAACTCGGTGAAGCTATGGTTGGAGGCTGCAAAGTTGGAACATGATGAGGATAACAAGAGTAGGGTGTTGAGAAAAGGACTGGAGCATATTCCAGACTCGGTTAGGCTATGGAAGACTGTTAAGGACATGGCTAATAAAGAAGATGCAGTGGTTTTGCTTCACAGAGCTGTGGAATGCTGCCCTCTGCATCCGGAGCTATGGATGGCGCTTGCGAGGCTTGAAACATACGAAAACACAAAGAAAGTGTTGAACAGAGCGAGAGAGAAGCTCCCCAAGGAGCGGGGGATTTGGATCACCGCTGCTAAGCTAGAGGAAGATAATGGGAATACTACTAAGGTTGGAAAGATCATTGAGAAGGGTATAAATGCTCTGCAGAGAGAAGAGGTTGTCATTGACCGGGAAAAGTGGAGGTCTCTGAGAGAGCCGGGTATGTAACAACCTGCCAGGCAATTATTAAGATCATTATTGGTTTTGAAGTCGATGAAGAGGATAGAAAGAAAACTTGGGTTGCTGATGCAGAGGAGTGCAAGAAGAGGGGTTCCATCGAGACTGCAAGAGCAATATACGCACATGCTCTTACCGTGTTCTTTACTAAGAAAAGTATCTGGCTGCGCAGTTAGAGAAGAGTCATGGTAGTATGGAGTCTCTTGATGCCGTGTTGCGTAAGGCTGTGACATACCTCCCTCAGGCTGAGGTTCTCTGGCTCATGTGTGCCAAGGAGAAGTGGCTTGCTGGAGATGTTCCAGCAGCCCGTGGCATTCTACAAGAGGCTCATGCCGCAGTTCCAAACTCCGAGGAAATCTGGCTTGCTGCTTTTAAGCTAGAGTTTGAGAGCAGGGAGGTGGAGAGGGCGAGGATGATTCTCGCAAAAGCAAGGGAAAGAGGAACTACTGGGAGGGTGTGGATGAAATCAGCCATTGTTGAGAGGGAACTAGGCAACGTAGAGGAGGAGAGGAGATTGCTTGAAGAAGGCGTGAAGAAATTCCCAGCATTCTTCAAGCTTTGGTTGATGCTTGGGCAGCTTGGGGAAAGGTTTAGGCATCTGGAACAGGCCAAGAAAGCTTACACATCTGGTTTGAGGCACTGTCCCGAGTGCACACCATTGTGGCTCTCGCTCGCTGATATTGAAGAGAAAGTGAATGGGCTCAACAAAGCTCGTGTAGTTCTCACTCTGGCCAGGAAGAAAAACCCTAAGGCGGATGAGCTATGGCTAGCTGCTGTTCGTGTTGAAATTAGACATGGCAACAAGAGAGAAGCAGAGCGCTTGATGTCAAAGGCCCTGCAAGAGTCTCCCAAAAGTGGTCTTCTCTTGGCTGCTGACATCGAGATGGCACCGCCATGTCTGCTCCCGCAAACGAAGATTGATGATGCTCTGAAGAAGTGTGTGAAGAAGGAGGCGGCGCATGTCACTGCAATGGTCGCCAAGATCTCCTGGCAAGATAGGAAGGTGGATAAAGCCAGATTGTGGTTTCAACGGACCGTGAACGTCGACCCAGATAATGGAGATTTCTGGGCCTTGTACTACAAATTTGAACTTGAACATGGCTCTGAGGAGAAGCAGAAGGAGGTGCTGACCAAATGTGTGGCGTCTGAGCCAAAGCACGGTGAGAAGTGGCAAGCCATATCCAAAGCGTTGGAGAATGCCCACCAGCCTGTTGAAGTCATCTTGAAGAGAGTGGTGGTTGCATTGACAAGGGAAGAGCGTAACAAACTCTAAGCTTATGTCCATTTTGTTTTGGCAATCTTACTTGTTATTTTATCTTTTTCAGGCTCAGATTTTTAACCCTTGATGATGTTTGCTTGAGAAATTGATTTGGTAGATAGATGGAGTCTTATTCGCCAGATGGAAATATGTAGAATTTTCAGTCACCTTGGTGAGTTTCTGCAGTGTTATGGTTAGCTATTACAAAGCTTCTTCAGGAGAAGAAAGATTGGTGAACTTAATTGCGGCTTTTGTGTTTCCTTAACGCCAAAACCAAACCAACAAGTTGAATAGTCGAAGAAGAATTTTAAGAGCTTTGGGTACAATTGTTTCCTTTAACATAGATAAGATACATTAGGTAGGCCTCTGATGAATAAACGAAATTTCATAAACACAATTCTAAAATTTCATAATTTTATTTTTAGTATTAAATTATTTCACAAATAGATACTAATAAATAAATAAAAATGTTATTCCAGTCTTTTCACAACTTTCTGTTATGTAATGAGAGAGCTTATATAAATGAAGCTAAACTTTCTGTAACTCATAGTTAAACATATTCAAAGTGCCGACCATATTCTAGTTTTCTGATACGGATCGAACTTGAGTTTCCATAGTTTCGACCGACCAAATGAAATGATCGGATCTTTTACATAGGGAGAATCTAAAAAACGAAGAAAGTAAAAAAGATAAGCCTATCATCTTTCTTTATCTACACAATAATGGCGGCGCCTTCTGCAGAGCCTGCAAAGACAAAATTTACATCACAAGTCACAAACTTATATCCCCTCCATTACAAAGTCTCCTGGAGAACAACAGCAGTCACCTGGATTTTGGGGTATCTTCGGCTTTGTCAGATCATAAAAACCCAAAAAAGCAGAGAAATCAAAACCAGTCTTCCAATGTAATGTACAAGGAGGCGGGAAGGAAACAGAGCCATCTGTTGCTTATGAGAGGTCAAACGATCCTTGCCCTTCGTTGATGGCGTAGAGCAGTTTCTTGTACATTATTTCCTGTTTCAATAACATACAAACTCCTCAGGCTCACCCACACTATTATGGACTCAAGAAGAATAGAAAAAGAGACATGACGCACCTTTGTAGAATAAGGAGGGAGTTTAAGGTAGTTTGCGCAAGTCATGACACTGGGCAAATCATCATCTGCTGTCTCCGAAGCCCCTGCTCCGTTGGTTGCTGCACTTGAGGTCGATGAGTGCTGCACCAGCCACAGCGAAGCAATTTTAGAATCCCATGCAAAACCAATAATTAACAACTTCACGACAGTAAGACATATATCATCTGAATAACTCTTGCCAATGCAAACAAACACCACAATACGTGTCTGCTCATAGAAAAAATGAGCAAAAGCCCTTGCCCACACATAGATGCCTGGTGACATATGCTTGGTGGCAAAATTTTAACATGACTTGGGGCCGGTTGCCTAAATTACAAAAATGACTCGTAATAAGGTTTGACTCGTAATAAGGTTGGTTTTTTTTTTTACCTTTCTCACAATCGTGAGCTTTGGGTTCAGAACAGCTAAGCCACCAGGAGGAAGCCTAGGAGCTCCAGTTACAAATTGGCAGAAAGCCCTCTGCTGATCTGCTGTAAGTTCTCCCATGATCTCCAGTAACTACATGGTGGGGTGAATAGCAGAATCAGAAACGAATCAACACTTCAGAAGCAAAAGGAATGGTAATATGATTTCTAACAACTTGATGGATGGAGAAAAGTAACTTACGTTAATGATTGCCGGACTTTTGGCAGTGTACCCGTGATCAAATTTGATATGTTCAGCAAGAGTCTCCACCTGCAAGAAAAGAAGGTTTTAGAAATGATATTATATTACATCCAAAGTCTCTTGATTATGGGAAACTGAAAAGTTAAAAATTCACCTCCCACAACTCTCTACGACCACACAGCAAGTAGTCCAGCTCAGAAGGGGTGAATATTTGTAGAGATGTTATGTCAAACACCTGATAATTATGTGCAGAAACAGAAAGGTTTTGTAAGGATACAAATGGACGTAAAAGTTTAAGGTCAGACTAAAAAACAGAAAAAACGGAAGTCTGTAATCTACAAAATTCTCTATATTATGTTTAGAAGCCAAAGGCAATAGACAAAGAAAGAGATAACGCATAAAGTCTGCAAGACTGTTAACCTGATTGAATCCAGATCTGAAGGCTTCGATCTGCCTAGTGACTCCTCTCTTCACAGTAGCATCAACGACAAGGGATATATACTCCTCAAGATTAGTAATATCAACCTGTAACAGAACAGCACGTCATCAGCAATCATGGACAAGTTCTAAAAGAATAGTAAGAGGTGGGGTGTAAGCTAAGACAGTACAATTTCATCTCCTGATCTCAGAATGTACTCAGGATAGCCAGGTAGCGTGAAGTCCAAGCAGAGATCTTCTATTCGGGATCCACGTAAACATAAATCAGAAACCGTGCTGCTATTGTCACCACCAACTGCCTCCAGATAGTGCTTGCGGGCAACAAGAACACGTAGCTCTTGCAAGGTCTTGCCAAGTTCAGCGTCAAATAATACAATATCATGCAAATCAAGCTCCTGCTTAGTCAAGAAAAGAGGACGAACTTATTAGCAAAGGCCAACAGAAGTGAAAAAGTAGAAACCACTATTTCACTTTTAGCTAAACAAACACTTCTAGTAAAAAACTCACTTGACCAAGAATAAGTTTATAAAACGCAGTACTCAATGGGACATCCAATAGCCGTCCATCTTGAAGTGCTTTGGCCATCACACGGCCTAAAAGGCGGAAATATTCAATGACTTTATGAAACTGACCACCTTCAGATATGTCAGCTGTTGAGGGCCAAGGTCGAGGAAACAACCCAAGTGGTGCCAGAACTATATCTATGTTAGCTGCAGATGATTTTCCATCTTCAATCTCATCTCTATCAATTTGCATAGATACCTTGTCACCAGAACTCGATCTCCACATCCCTAGGGAAACCTTTTGCAGATCATGGCTTAAAAGTGTGTAAAACTCAAGGGTAGGGCCTAGACCAGTACCAACTTCACCAAAATATTCTACTTCAAGAACAGCTTTCTGGCTAGAATACATCTCCATAACTTTCGCAGCAGAATCTAGTATCCTATTTCGGGATACACGGACTTTCTGGCGCTGCAATCTCCCTATTCTCATCTCTCGTTCATTTGTAGACCCACTGCCGTCAGCACCTTGCTGCTGCTGCAAACGATTCAATGCACGAGACAACCCAAAAGCAGTTGAGTAGAAATACTGTCTCCGGGTTTGAAACGGGAACAGAAATGGGCATGCTCTAGTCAATTGGTAGCACCAAGAGGGAAGACTTCCACTGCACAAAGCAAGCGCATCCTGGATTTGTCGAGCTAATTTGGGTGTAAGTTTGCTATTGACGAATTCTTCATGAGGAATTTTAGCAGCAGTTGTACTCAGATCATCTAGACTTGTAATTTTACCCTCTGCAAAACGATCGGAAAGAGTTTGGGCTCTTAAACGAGGGCAAAGCTGATTTAAACCCTCTAATACACGTAACAGTGCCAGAACATTATATGTAGAATTCGACTTCTCAAGGTCGCATGGAAGCTCCCCTTGTAAGATACTATCCAAAAGAGATGCCCTATGTGATTGAGATTCTACACTGGAATTGGTAGTAGTAGCAGATTTCGTGGATTTTGACGGTGTAGTAGAACTTGCTCCACCAACAGACAACCTATTCACTTGGCTGTCTGGCCTCTGGTACATGATGGTGTAAATATCATTGAATCTGCTTCCATCACTTGAGATTAGATCACTGCCACCAAACCTGTCATCATCATCTTCATCTAGCATAAGTTGTCGCTGTACAGCCTGATAAATCGTCAAATGCCTACTAAGTTGCTTTCCTCCGGCAGTAAATATCAACTTAGAGGGCTCATCTGAACTTCGATTTAGGGTACGTCCATGCAAGTCCCTACTTCCCCTGATACCTCTACCACTGGCAGCTCCAAGCCCAGCCATCGCTGCAGCAGCAAAGGAGAGTGCACCCCTAGAACCATAAGAATTCCCAATGCCAGTATCAGTAGAATCAGATCCCCGTGCTGCTGCTGCTCCACTAGTGCCTCCAGAAGCTGGATTCATTTGTCGGCCACTGGTTGCTAGACCATCATCATCCACTGAGTCCGCCAATTTCACATCATGCACTTTATCAGGCGTGCACATGGGAAGACTGTCATCCAAAACCTGGAAATGAAAGTATACATGATTGTGAAGGTATTGAAAGAAAATCAAGACCACATGTAAGGTACAAAGCCAAAGTTATTGATAGCAGCGAGATAAATATGAGAAATAGGGGCGTAAGCTAAAAAGAAAAGGTTCCAAATGAGCTCGACTTAACAACAAAAAAGGACTTAACAAGGCAAGATAATCCGAAAATATGAAGCTGTCAAGCTTTATTGCCAAATGCAATATCTTTTATGGTGTTAGCAAAAACGACAACCACGGAATATAATGTACGTACTGGGAAAAAACCAAAGGACGACTTACATCTTCATTATCATCATCTTCATCATCAGAAATGTCATCCTCTTCAATCACCAAGGCATCATCAATGTCGACTGGGGATATATCCAATTCCTCATCCTGCAAGGCATACAAGGAAGATTGTGTTGAATAAGCAGATCACACCACAACATCATGATGTAACGCAGTAAAACATTTATGTAATCAAAAGCTTAGCACTGTAACATGCCTCAGAACTGGAGTCTCCGCTAGCTGGTTTCATTTGAGTATCTTTGTCAAGGACAGCTCTCTTTTGAGCACTGCTCCTTGTTTGAGGCCCCTTATCCGCCTGAGCCGGTTTCATAACGCCTTTACCTTTTCCTTTCGATGAGCTGGTACCTTTCTCAGGCACAGGATCTTTCTTTGAGGTATCACCTATGTTAATTGCCGATCGAGATCTAGAAGAATGACGCCGAGTGGTGGAAGCTGGAGTTGACGAAGAAGGTGATGAAACACCAACACCGCTAGGTAACGTGCCTGGCTCTGTATTTCCAGCAGGCGCTGCCGGCTTCAGAGCAGATTCACTGCGTTGAACTCGGGGCCACAGAAATTCCTCCACCGCTGCTATGCTTGCCAATGGATCTATAAGTACAATATTGGAGGAGTAATCACGTAGTGTTTTCTCTCCAGGTGCACGGCATAATCGCAACTTTAAAGGATGTGCCAAAGCACTCAATCCAGAGGAGAGCCGAGCACTTCCACTTAGTGACCTTGAGGGATGGCTAAGGACAACTGGAAAGCGTTCCAGTGACGATAAAGCATTTTGAAGTTTCTGAATCAGAACTGTCATAGGAGGGACCTTTCCCTCATTACCATCAAAAGGAAGAGCGACTTCTAGAAAAGCTTTGAACCTTCTGAGTCCCTCCTGGCGAAGTTTGGGCAATATAAGTTCGGAGATCTTCTCTTTGGAAAAGTATCCACAAGAAAAATAGTTAAGAAATGCTGCAACCACACCACTGCCAATAAACTCAAAAGTTGAGACACCATCCCCTTTACTTAGCTCGCCAAGTATCTCAGAAATGACACCAATCAAGTACTCTTCCTTGCTAGCAGAGAAATCGCCAAGGCATGGCCCAGAGGCTTTAGATTTTCCCTTCCCTTTCACTTTATGATCATCTATACCAGCAGTTA